AGCCTCACTGTGCTTTCACAAAGCCTCTTCAAACTTAGCAAGCGGTGTGTTTGCGAGTTTGAGGAGTGATTTCGCCCGCTAACGACGTGTGTGTTGCAGGCCGGCTGACGGAGGGTCTGACAGCGCGCTGTCCCGAGTGGGTGGGCAGGGCAGCACCGCCCTTGCGTGAACCCGGCCGGGCTTGCCTCCGCATTTCCCGTCCCCCCTTGCTCTCACGCTGACGTGGGGAGCAGCCTGACCTCCTCGTCCAGCAGCTGTGCCTTGCAGGGATACGTCTTTGTTTACATAAGAATATGGCAGCTCCATCTCCTTTTAAAATGTCAAGCGTTCAAAGTAAAAACATCTTAATAACTATACTGTAAGCGAGAAAAGAACCCTAAGTGCTGAATATTGAATAGTCTGGCAGAATTCTTCGGTAGGTAAAAATGTAGGGTATGAAATATTCTTTCAGATTAGACTTTAGAATGTTGACTGTGTAAATACAGATTTTGATTTTTTTTAATGAAGGTGATTTATTGTAGCATTAAGAATTTGTCACACCGATACTTACTTGGCAGCATTTAAGGCGCAGGTTATGGAGCCGTAGCCGAGAACAGCTCAAAGCAACGCCTGCTCCGCACATCGCTGGGCGGAAAGGGCTCGCGGCTCAGGCTCAGCTCACGTTGGGCCGCCTGCAGGCGGACGGGCGCGGGCCGCGTGGGGTGGTTCGGATCCCAAAAGGAGCCCGTGCATAAACTCAAAAGGAGGGAGAAAGACTGTCTGGCATCACTTAAAAATACTTTTGTTTTGAAAAAGTGGTCGCTCCAAGATTTAGGAGTTATTTGAAGGTCTTCAAGTTACTTGTTTTTGTTGTGTTGCTGTTTAATATTCTAGTAAAGTGGAAAATATAAGGCTGGTGTGCTTCAGAGACGTTTGAAAGGAGTGTGCTTTGTGTAGGAATTTCAGCTGGGTCGGAGTGTGGCCCTGTGTCAGTTTTGGAGTCACAGTCCAAATTCTGCGTGACAGCAGCCAATTCGCTGGTTGAGGGTAGCTCACCTGCTGAAAGACAAACAGCCCTGGCGACGATGTTATTTTCCCGAGTCATCTTTCATCACAACACCGTGCTTCTGCTGCGTGGAGTCCTCCTGCGTGAATTTGCTGTTGGACTGGAGGCTTTTCTGGTTTTCAAATTGTCATGCATTTACAGGGAAAATATAAGACAAAATGATACTCAGCTTTCTGTAAGAGTTTAAGTTGGCTTTCTGACTTTTTGCATCTTACTATTTTGCTGTTCTAAAATGCTTTCATGTAACAATTAGGTTAAGTGTGAGTTTTAAAGGAATGGTAAAAGTATGTTGATATTCACATCTTAATATGCACGATGTTAATACCACAGGATCTGCAGCTAGTGGTGTGCGTGCCTGTGTCCCAGGTAGTAGTTCCGGGGAGTTTTATCACGTGAGACTTGGTTGCCGCTTGGTGTGCACACTGACCCCCCGGGGACGCGGCAGCAGGGCCAGGCTCAGCCGAGATGGATGGGTGCTGTGTCCCAGACGCAAGGTGGGGTCTTATTTGTCCCACATGCATCCGGACACTGGCCTGACCTTTCCTCGATGAGGCAGGAGAATACCATATTTACCCTTTATTGTTGGTGCAAACCATTATTTTCCTGAGCACCATTAGCTGTTTAAAACTTGGTACATAAATTAAAGAGGAGCTAAGTGGATTTGTGATCGCTGCCATTAGCGGCATTTTAGATTATACAGGCAATTATTGTGTTCATTATCCTAGAACAGCCCCTTTGCAGAACCATTGTCGTGTCTTAGACATTATGCACAAATTTTCCCTTAGAGATTAAAATTTCCAGTAGCGTATTTAATTTTGTTATCACAGTTGTTTCAGATAAAACAAATATTATGACAAGTAGAAGACAATTTGCTTTACTAAGAAATTACAATAAATATTGAAAATTACTTCCTAGTGTACTTAATTTACCTTTCCTTATACAATCATAATTACTTCAAGTGATTATTAATATATTTTATGGGTGGAAAGGTTTTGCAGTCATAACAAAAGATATCTGGTCTGTTCAGTGTTCCAAGAAATATTTTAAAGGAGAGGTTCACGGGAAAACCCAAGTTACCACCACCTTTACAGAATCTATAACTTTGTAAGTTCACTAATTTTTATATTGAATAGTTTCCAAGAGTCTAGATTGCATTTTAGATAATTTGAAGAAACTTTTAAAGGTGTTTTAGGGAAATGAGTATAAAAACTAACTACTAATTGAAAGTTGACTTTAAAAAACATGAGCTGAAATGTGTCTACTTCTCGCTGTCTGTTAGAACTGGCAAGGAAGATGAAGACCACGGGACGTGCGATAGCTTGGTTGCAGTTATGTTCCGGGAAGAACCGCCCCAGCTCAGAGCAGGCTCCATGCAGGGACGCAGGGACCGTGGGAGGGCGGAGCTGGGTGTTGCCCAGCACGGCCCCCACGGCAGTCAGTGCGCAGGTGCTCCCACTGGCGTGTCCGCGTGTCCACGCGCCGCTGCTTCTGGACTGGCAGCCGCTGTGTGCTTTTCCAGAGGGAACGCTGTGCCAGGTCCTGGTTGCTGTGTCCCTGCACTTCCCGTTTTCATGGCTCTGATGCGGGGAAGTGTGAGGTAGTGAGTATATGTTTTGCAAGACAGTGATTCTTTATTTTATTACAAAAAGAAGACCAACTCTGGAAGGCCCGATTAAATCATTCCTTTCACTTTTTAATGGGATTTGGATGAATAGAGTAAAATATGCACTTTGCATTCATTGATAGCATCTTTAGGTCGAGGTAATTGAGTCTTTTTTCCTGACTGAATGAGTAATGACTTCATCCGACCCTCAGCGTGCCTGAGACTTGGGCCGCCTTTGTCACAGCGGCAGGAGCCAGGCTTTGAAACATGCTCTACTTCCCTGCCTTAATTTTTCTTCATTTTAATCCAAAACCCCATTTTTCTCCATAATTCAAGCATAAACTATGTAGTAGTTGAAGGGGTGGAAATTGCAAGGTGTTTGTCCTTGCCATGCCGCTTTGTGAGTAGGGCTGATCCATGGGCTGCTGCAGGCCCCCGCCCGTGGGTCCCTGCCGCTGCAGGCCCCCGCCCGTATGGGTCCCGGCTGGGGCGGCTGCCAGGAGGCAGCCCAGAGAGTGCGGTGGGCCTTCCTGCGGGGCGGGGGGCCCTGCTGAAAACTGAGGGGGGCGGGCTTCCCCTGCTGCCATGCCACAGGCGGCGGAAGCGCCGGTGGACCCGGGAGTGAGGTTCCCCCGTGCCCTGAGTTAGGAGTCTGCGCACGAAGTGACCCAGGAGGACCACATCCCGCAGGCCGGGGGCTCCCTCCGCTGTCCCGCAGCGACTGGGCAGCGGGGGTGCCGACTGGGGAGCAGGGGTGCGGGGCTCGGAGGTGCGGCCTGTGGGGCCGGGGCCTGCACAAACCCGAGGAGGCCCCCCAGCAGCTGCCAGGCCTGCACGGGGGCTCTGCAGGGCAGGCCGACCCCAGGCTGCAGGCGGACGTCAGGCACGTGGAGTCCCAGTGCCCATCCCCATTGCTCCTGCCCCGTGCTAACAGTTCAGTAGTTCTCAAATTTTTTAAATCTAGTTTTTTAATCAAAGTTTTGGCAATTTTGTTTTCTTTTTTAATTGCTCTTTTTTAAAATTCATACCAGAATCAGGAGAAACTCAGATGGCCTGACACAAATGCCGTCTCCTGCTCGGGCCACACAAATCATGCTCGAGCAGCTGTGTGCGGGCAGGCTGTGCCCCCCGGCAGCCCCTGGGGAGCCCCCAGGCCAGGCCTCTCCAGGACCTCCGTAAGCCGGGTGGTGCCAGCTTACAATGAGGAAAATGAGGCTTAAAGAGTATAAGGACATTCCCAGGGTCACACGGTGTGTAAGCCAAGACTCAGGTCCACATTTTTAATGATTGATGAGGACATGTATCTAAGCTTACCTTCTACCTGGAGCTCTGCATCATGTCATGGAACCCAAGTCCTTGCTAGCAAGGCACTGCCTGAACCTGGTCCCTGCTCCCCCGGGCTGGGCAGCCAGGCCGCCTGGCCCACCAGGTGACCTGCCTCTTCCCTCTGCCTGGACTGTACACCTTCTCCAAAGCCCAGGCCCCTCCACTGTGCACATGGCCTTGCACGGTGGTCTTTCCAAGGTGACACTGAGCAAAGGGGGAAGACTCCACCAGTGTTGCCAGAGCTCAAAGTGGGTGTTGTACTCCTCAAAGCGCTGTGTTCTCTTGGGTGGTAAAGCGAAAGGCGTTTGGGTTGCTGCTTCTACACAGAACCCAACAAAAACTGACCTGATTCTCGCTGACATAACTTTCACACCTTTTGCTCAGCCCGTCAGTGGTCCACAGAACGCACAGGAGTGTGGTGCGCCTTCCTGGGAGACTCTGAAGTGCAGGGTTTGTGCAAATCACAATTCAGAGTGTCTCGTTACAGGCTCGCTACTCTGTCTGTTGCTTTTCTTCTTAATTAAGAGTTCTTTGCAGAGAGGCTTTCGGCAGATAGGGATGACAGACATCCCGTCCTGTTCTTGGGGGCCTTGAGCTGAAGGAAATCCATGGGGCGGAAGGTGCATGCAGCCTCGATACCTGTCAGAGCAGTGCAGGGAAAACGTACATCCACTCTCACAAGAGCTAACCACGCCCCCAGGTCTGCTAGGCCCATCGTGTCCTGTCTCGTGTGTTCCCATGAGCTGTCACACCACCACCACGCGGAGAAGCATCTGAGTCTCTGCGGCTGGACTCTCGGACTAGTAGCACCTGCCTGGACACGCTGTGGGAGCGTAACTTGTTCTCAGGAATCCTGCCTACATCTGTCTCTGAGAGGCTCCCTGGGAGAAAACCAGAGTTAACACCGTTTTGCATTTCATCCTAAGGGGGGTGTTGCAAAAGACAATGTACAGATGTTGTCACTCGTGTTCAGATGTGTTGTTAGGAGCGTTATGCTTCTGCCCTAATTCCCTGTTTTCCTTTCAGGTGGGTTTGTTGGACATTGAGCTCAATCAGCTGACCAAAGCACTGTTTCTGGCTCTGGTTGCCCTCTCGGTTGTCATGGTAACCTTACAAGGCTTTGCTGGGCCGTGGTATCGCAATCTTTTTCGGTTCCTCCTCCTCTTCTCCTACATCATCCCCATAAGGTAGGTTGAAGACTTATGGTAAAACAAATGTCTAGTTTAATTGAATGTGATTTCATGGAAATTTGAAATGGAAATTTGTTTCTCAACATGAAAGAAATTATCCACACAAAGGTCAGGAGGAAGGAGTCCAGAGCTCTGCTGAATCCTTAGGGATCATTCCACAGAAAACAATGTGTGGGAGTCAGTTTTGTTAGAATAATCTAGAAATTTGATATGTCATCTTGTATAAATGTATTGATAATATAATCTTCAACGAGTGGGAGGAGATACAAGACGTAAATCTGAATCTAACACAGCAGCTGTAGTTGACTGCTGACAGATGTTTCCTTCCGGTGCTCTTGGGTCTGCACGCGGTCGCCGACATGTTCGAGGCCTCTGTATTCCAGAGACCATGTATTGCGCCTGTCAAGTCAGATAAAACGCTGAGTGAGGCCGTCTTCTGAGTATGAGAGCCCCTCTCACTCGAGACTGGGAGACACATAGTTAGCATCGGATGGTTTTCATTCAAAGACTAATATTTACAATAAGTGTACGTAAGTCCATCTTAAAATATTTCCACAAAGGATATTTTTAAAAGATACCCTTAATATATATGTTTGGAAGTTTCATATGAATGAGCAGTTAAACCCTAATAAATCATGCACGAAGTACGAATCCAGAATACCAATCTTCTGTAACAGAAAAGGGAGTAAAACCGTATGCAAGTATTAGGCACAGAGGTGGAAGCATGTCTTTTCATCTACAGACCGCGGTTCCCTGTCTGTGTCACGGCTGAGTCGCTTCCTCTCCCGCAGCTTCCGGGGTCTCCTGCACCTGTCTCTGCGGAGCAAACGTCTTTTCTTCAGTCTTGTTTCTCTTCACTGCTGCTGCTTTCGCCCGATCTGCCACGTGTGTGATGTAGCTTCCGTGGCTGCATCACGACATGACGCACGCAGAGGCCCGGGGAGAGCTCTGTGCCTCTCTCCTCTAGGGCCTTCCTCCCCACACCTGGTGGGAGCCATTAAGCAGTGTGCACGCCTCTCGTAGTTTCTGAATGAAATACTTTATTTCTGTGCACTGTCTCCAATTTCTTTCTTCAGTAAAATGATAATATGAACAGACTTGACACTTTCCCCTTTATCAAATTAGCAAAGAATTGATTCCAGTTAGGACAGTTAATGCATGAGCATTTTAAAACTAACACTGATTTTCATTGTTTTATATTTGAAATATGTACGTTTGTACTAGAAATTAGACAAGACCTAATGACAGCAGAAGGCCGGAACTGTCATCTCACTGAGTCCTGAGAGACCCTGCAGGGGCTCGCAGATGTGTGCACACACTTCCACGCACAAGTGTGCAGGTGCCCACGCTGGTGCACCAGCACGAACGCACCCTTTTTCAGGCTGTGAGTCTGTCTCCGTCCCGTGTTTCCGTCCACAGTTGAACATCAGGGAGTCTGAGCGTGCAGAGACTCACCAGACGGCAGCCGCCGCTGGGCTGCAGCGTGCTGGGGCGCACTCCACTGGGGGGCTGCCTCCTCCGGGCAGGGGACACAGGCTACGCCCCTGGGCCGAGGGATGGGCGGCACACTCGGGAGTGCAGTTTACATCTGATTCAGCCACGTTTGTTTCCCTTTGCAGTTTCCTGAAAATATGATGGATAATATATTCCAGTATTTGCTAAATATGCTTTCCAGTTTAACCGAAGATTTTTAAATATTTTCTTGTTTTGCAAAGTGTACAATTCTGGAAAGTGCCTTTTCCTCTACCGACCTAACACTCCTAAACGGCTTTTTAAATTTAAGAAAGTGAAGCTGTTTTTATAAGATTTTTCGTTACAGAATAAAATATGTTTGAGTCACCTGATAGAATTTACTTTGTCTTTCGTGTTCGTGTAAAATATGACAAGATTTAACTCTTGCTTTTCTAACACGAAAGCACATTCCCCGAAGCATCTGTGTCCCTCGTGGCCAATGGCAGACTGACTGTCGGTTCTTCACAGGACACGTGGGCGCCCTCGGGCCCACAGCCGGCGGTTTCTTGTCTCTTTCGTTTTCGCCCCTTTGCCTGTGCGAGTCCCTTGTGGCCCTGGCTGGTGCGGCTTCGGGCACTGAGCGCCAGCCTTTGACCCAGAGGGTCACAGGTTCAATCCCCAGTGGGTGCACATGCCTGGGGTGTGGACCAGGTCCCCAGCAGGGGGCGCACGAGAGGCAACACACATTGACGTTTCTCTCCCCTATCTCCCTTCCTCCTCCTCTCTCTGGAAATAAATAATACATTAAAAAAAAAAGTCCATTCGCACCCCAGCCGTAAACACTGCCTCATCCATGCAGGGTCAGAGTTTTTCACGCTCCGGTGCAGCCCCGTGGGTGACGAGCCTCGGCCGGGGGTCTCGGTCTGGGCGCGGGCTCCCTGCCCTTGACCGCCCCTCGGCCCGCCGCCTGGACGCCCAAGGCTCCGCCCGAGCCCCCCACTCACCGTTCACGGAGAGCGGACCGTCTCAGCGCCGGGCGACGCGGGCACCAGTCCCCGGCAGTTCAAGTGGGCGCGAACCTGCCGGCCCGCCCAGCGGCCCTGGCCCACGGTGCAGGGCGTGTGCGGTGCAGGGCGTGTGCGGAAGGACGTGCAGGGCCAGAGGCAGGCGGCTCCTGGGGCCACTCGGCTGTCGCCGGACATGCAGAGACCCGGAGAGGCCCTGGGGTGGCTGTGAGGGCAGCAGCGCGCGGCGCGGCCCGGAGGGGATGGGCACGGCCCACAGGGGAAGCCGTCCGGGGAGAAGCTGTCGGGTGTCTCGGCTGTGGCGCGGCTGGGCAGCGGGGCGAGGGCCACGGGTTGAGTGAGGCCCCGGGCCTGCGTGGCTCTGGCCGTCCCGCAGTCTCAGAGGCGGAGTCTCGCTCGGCCAGCATGGACACGTGGGGGCCAGCCACGCGCTTCGCGTGGGTGAGGTTCTGCGGGCAGGGGTCGCTCTGCGTCGTGTAAGGGGACCTTCCCCCCGGCCCGGCGGTGCGGTGGCCTCCGACCCGGGAAGGAGTCGTTCGTGGCCTGAAGGACGTTTCACCTGGTTTTCCCTTCCGGTCGTCTTCGCGCCCTTTCAGGCAGACTCGGGCCCGCGGACGTGGGGCCGCCCGTCGCCGGCCGGTGTCGCCTGCGCAGCCCCATGTCGCCTGCGCAGCCCCTGCCTGCCCGTTCCCGAGGCAGTGACGGGCCGCCTGGTTTCCACGCCGCGGGAAGGAGCCAACGGCCGACAGGACGAGCCCCGCCTGAGTTCTGCCATGCGCGGCCCCAGGCCCCTGCTGGGCCGTGGAGCAGCCTCCGCGTGGAGCCCGCGCGCGGCCTGCTTTCCAGCCGCCCCGGGGACGCGGCGGTCGGCGGGTGCTGCTGTCCAGGCCGGTCGTCTTCGGAAGGCCGGCCTCCTCCGCACCGGCTGCGGCCACGGGCAGATGCAGCCGGTTTCTGTACAACGACCAAACGCGCCGGCTCCAGCCCACTGCTGACCGCTGCCCACCCGAGTCTGCGGGGTGGGGTGTCGGGAGTGCACCTCTGCCGCGGTCGGAGGCCTCCCCGCGCCTCGCCGGGGTCGTTTTTGCGTCGGGAGCGTGGTTTTGAGACCCTTTCTTCTCTTCCCTTTCTGTTCTTGAACGTCTAGACGCGCTGAGCAGACTCGGTGGACCCCCGGTCCTGCCCGAGCCTGGCGGTGGCGGGGGGCTCGGCCGGGACACCCGCTCTCTCGCCTTGCGTGCGCGTGGGTGCGGCCACGGAGCTCCCTCCTCCCGGGGTTCCCTGCGTGCCTCCGGTGCGGCCCTCGCCTGCCCTCCGCGCACGCGCGCAGACGCTGTTTCCGGCCGGGAGCACCCACTTCCGGGCACCCGCGCGGGGAAGGGGCGCTCCGTGCGCCCGGACCGCGCGCTGGGGCGGAGGCGCGTGGCGGCGCTGGCGTCTGTGGTAGCGCACCTGTGCTTCTTAGACAGCTGCGGCTTAAACAGGTGACTTCCGTCAGAAACCTTGATTTCGGCTTTTTTTTTTTTTTTTTTACTTGAGTCGGTTTGGCGAGTTACGGCTTTTGGGAAGCCTGTCAGCTGCACCCGAGCCCTCGAGCCCTTCCGCGGCAGCTCGCCCCGCGTGGCCGCAGCAACCGGCCTCGGCTCCCGGCCCGGAGCTCGCGCCTCTCCTGTGGGCGGCGGCCCCGCCCGAGCCGCCCGTGCCCTCTGCCGCTTGGTTGACGCGGGGGCCCCCTCCCGTCTGGGGCTTTCACTGCCCTGAGTTCTCGAGACGGACGCGCAGCTCCCGGGGCCCGCTCTCCCGTGCTCCTCCCGCCCGCGCGAGCCCCGCTGGGGCCGCGCCCCAGGGGTTCCGTGGCTGCCCTGCGACAGAACGTGTCTGGCTTCCGCCGCGAGCTCTTCCTGGGCCCACGGCCACCAGTTCACCCGGACGCTCGAACTTCCCGCTCGAGTTCGGTTCCCTTGGCGGCCGGCAGAGCCCTCGCTTCGCGTCGCGTCGCGTCGCGTCAGGCGCGGACCCGCCCAGGCCGCGTGGGGGGCGGGGCCTGGCTCTTAGGTGGTTCCGCCGCCGACGTCGTTCTGCGCCGCCGACGTTCTGCGCCGCCACGCCAGCCGCGTCGGCGCGGGAGCTCGCGGTGGCCGGTCTGGGCGTCCCGGGGCCGCGCGCCCCGCCGGACTGCCTCGCGGCCTCTCCTGGCGGCCGGTCCGCGTGGCGTGGAACCCTCGGGTCAGTCCTGTGTGCGCGGCCGCCTTCCCTCGGGAGTCGGTGTGGTCTGGGTGTCGCGAGCTTGTGTGGCGCTGGGGCGGGGCGCGTGCGGGTGTGAACTGCTGCGCATTCCTGCCGAACTAAGCGTTTTTCGTTGTAAAGTGACTTTATCTCTGCTAAGGCTCTTGCATTAAATTCTGCTCCGCTTTGTGTGGATAGAGCAGTGCCAGCTGGCTTCAGTGCGCTCGGCGCGTCGTTTGGTCTCTCTGTGCCGTCGGCGCCCCTGTGTGTGTGTGCGTGTGTGTGTGCGTGCGCGCTCTCGCGTGTTCACGTGCGCGCGCCTCCTGTAAGGAACGCGGCGTGTGAGCTCCGTCTGCTCGGGTCGCTGCTGCGCGTGCGCGGCTGTGCAGTACTGCTGTGTTTTTAGTTAAAGCTGTCGTCTACCTCGCCTTTTCAGCATGGCTTACCTTTCCTGCGTACTTCTCCTTCCTTTCTTACCGTTATATGTTTTTTTTTCTTAATTTCACTTTTTCCCCTAGTACTTTGGAAGTTTACGAAGGGTTTCTGTTCCAGTGGTTATCCTAGAGGTCAGAAGCGTCACTTTTAATTTGCCGAAGTCTGAAGTGAATCGTTCCCGTTGCCCATCACCTCGCAGCGCTTGGCTCCACTCACCGCCGCTGGCCTCGCGCCGTTCTCGCCGTCTGTCCTCGTTCCCGTCGTCCCGAAGGCCCTGAACACCGTCTGTGCGTTTCCTCTCCGTTTTGATAGTCGTCCATGTTTTTGCTCTTCGTTTTGCCTTACGTTTCAGACCTTCCATGCAGCATAATTCCTCTGCCACAATTTCCTCTTTGGTTTTTGTTTAATGCTCATCTTTGTTGAGAAGTGTCTAGATTTTTGCTTGGCCAGCCTTCGTGAAAAAACACCTGTCACCTGTGTGTGGATTTCTACGAGCCACCTTCACTTTACTCTCCTTCGGCGTCTGTGGTGCTACTTAGCAGCGGTCGGGACTGTCGCGTCGCCACCCCCCCCCCCCCACCCGCTCCGCTGCTGCTTCCCCTCCGCCCAGCCGCTCCTCCCGGTGTCCCGCTGGGTGCTCGCTGGGCTCTCCGAGTCTGTGGACCGGCGTCTTCCCTCCCCCCCGGGAAGTTTCCAGCCATCCTCTGTTCACGCACCGACCGCCTTTGTCCCACCCGTGCTGTCCCCTCCCTCTGGGGACACCCGCTCGTGGCCCCTCATCCATCGCAGGGCGGAGGCGCCTCTGTCGGGCCTGCACCTCCCACCGCCTGGATCTGCAGTGCTGCTCCCCGTGGGGGGGGGTTGGGGGGCGCTGCTGGGGAGGTCCGGCCCCAGGCAACAGGCATGCAACCCGGGAGGGAGGTTTTGTGGGCACTCCCCGCCCCGGTGGCCGGTCTAAACTTAGCCCAGGAAGTCTTCCTCGTCTAGTCAGTTCTTTGGTTCTCTTAAGAGTTAAAGAAATTTGTCACGTGGCGTTTCCTCTTGTGTTCAGTGGCAACACGGATCAAATAAGATAGCCTGCTTTTACCCAGGGTCACAGAGCTGTCTTGAAATTTTCATATGAAGGAAATTACACACATTTGAATTAAAATTTCCGATTAGCTTCCATGGCAGTACTTGCCACGGGTAAGCTTTTGCGTTCCCAAATGTGGTAGAACGGCATCTGTGCCATTTCTGTCAAATGACAGTTTACGGGACGAGGTTTTGATGAAGCTCATCGTGAAAATGGCAGGCGCTTCCTTTCTCTGGGACGAGGGTCTGAAGTCCCGATGCGGAGGGTGCGGGCGGACGACCTCCGGTGGACCCTCCTGGCGGCGTGGCCGCCCTGGAGCCGCGTCACCTGCTCGGGCCGGTTCTGGGGGTCTCCCTGTGGCGGGCTGGCGGCGCTTGAGCACAGTGGGCCGGCACTGCACGTCAGGAGAACACGCCCGACTTACTCGGGGTCCGGGTCGCCCCTGAGACGTGTCTGTAGGTAGAAGATGAAGCTGTTCGGGCACAGAAGTGCCGCCATCACGGCGGCGTCCCGTTCTGGAGTTAGCCTGTGCCATCTCGCCGTGGCGGGTGTTCCTCGGCACCCTGGGCCGTCGGCACCTTTAGCTCTGGCTCCGCGACCACAGAACGTCGCAGGGGACTGACTCTCCCTTCGCTTGGATCAGGTTTGTGGTCAACGGTGTCACCATTGCTCAGTGAGTGGAAAATACGTCTGGCATCTAGAACTTTATGATCTACTCCTGTAATTCTGAGTAGTAGGCTTCCTGTACCTTTTCTGCTCACAAATGTTATGATAAAGTTTAAGCCACATTGAGGTCTGTGTTTTCAAATTCTATGAAATTAAAACATTACTGAACAGTAAGCTAAATATAATTGCTTTGTCAACTTGGTGTTTGAAGTTTGAGCTTCTAGAAATTTTTACCGTTAAAAAGCACCTGGGTCGCGCTAGCACCAACCCTGGATCACAGCACACAGTGGGAGTCAGAGTGGACCCCCTGCTCAGCATTGTCTCTGCTGCAGACACTGTCTTCGGCCTCAGTCTCGGTCTGTCCCCTGTCACCGAGGGGGTCGCCGGCTGTCACTGAGGGGATTACCAGCCCGGGGTGGCCTCCGTTCTTCCTCCAGTCTCCAAAGCGCATTTGTGGTCCGGTGGTATTCAGTTACCCCACAGCACTCCGTGACATAGTGAGTTTTCGCCACTCCGTGACCTCCGCGGGTATCGCATTAAACTGTCCACCCCGCAGACGTGGGGACGCAGCAGAGGCCTGGGTTGGCTGTGGGCTCGGGGAGGTGCTACCGCAGTGGCTCTGCCCAGGAACCGGGTCCCTGCCACGGCCTCGCCTCCCAGATCTGCCCACCCAGTGGGAGCCGTTGGTCCTGAGACTCGCACACATGTGCTTAGGCCACAGCTGTTGCCTCGCTCCTGAGACGTCTGCATGGAGCGCCGGCCTCGCTGGAGCTGAGCTCACCACGCAGACCGAGGTCTGCACCGGCCGCCTCGGCCCTTCAGTCTGTACTTTCCTCCCAGCCTGCGGCTGTCTGGGCCTTGCAGCCAGCTGGTCCCAGGACCTGGCCCAGCCGCTGCACCCTCCCAGGCCCGGTTTGTGTCCCTCACTGAAGCCCTTCACTGTGGGGAAGCGTGTTCGTTCCCGTCACAGAACGAGACCCGTTTCGAGTGTTCATTCCCGCTGGGACGCAGCCTGGCCCTCCGCCCCACGGGGAGCGGACAGCAGCCCTCTCTCCCCCATCCAGCTCTGCAGACCACAAGTGCCCCTCACCGCCACCGGGGCACATTCTCGCACGTGGAAATGGTGGTTGACTTGGAGCACCATAAAGTCACTTACTTTAAAGTCTAAAATTCAGTGTTACTTCGTGTAAAGTGAAAGATAACGTGTATGAGTGAGGTTACGTGGCAGCCGTGGAGGCGGAAGTATTCTCAGGGTTGGATCCGACTGACCAGGCAATGGTTTCACTCGACAGTTTGCGTGTGAACTTGGACATGGGCAAAGCAGCGTACGGGTGGATGATGATGCGGGACGAGCACATTCCCGGCACTGTCGTCCGGACCAGCACCATTCCGGAGGAGCTGGGCCGCCTGGTGTACCTGCTGACGGATAAGACAGGTACCACCTGCGCGTGTCGCCGGCGTGACCAGGGTTGGGGGCGCGGGGCGGGCGTGTGTGGGCGTGCATCAGCATTGACCCCTGTCCAGAATGGCTCAGACGGTGCCCTTGAAAACTGGCACACAACTCACCGTCCCTTTCCAAAAGGCACAGTGTCGTCAGAAGTAGCAAAACGTTAAATTCTTAGATATGTAAGTGATATTTCTGTATTTTGAATTTTCTGCAGCCTTACAGTTCTTGTTTTATTTAACTGCCTTTTTACACCTCTCTGCTGGCTTCTTAAGAACAAACATTCCGTGTTTGTTACAGAATGGTACTTGTAAGCTATTAGAAGAAACTAAAAATAAGATACGTGAATCTGATGTTTTGACAACTACATTCTCCTAAGGAGCTATATACTACAAATAATTTATCTCACCGTGAGGTTGCATGCCCAAAATTTTATTTGTCCTTATTTTGTTTTTTTTCTTTTTTTCACCACAGAATTCTTGTCAATCCGTAACATAGTAGATAAAAACAGACTGAATCCAGCACTGTAATAAAAGCCATACCTAAGAGTTAAAATCCCTCCTTGATTTATTGGCTTATGATTTAAATTCCAGGTGATTATTTTAATGAGTTAGAAATAAAATAATATTTGTATAAGTGGTAAAGAAAATACGTCTAAAATACATTTCAGCATTTTAAATGCAGTGTTATAAAGATCCTCACTGCAGTCAGGAAGAAGAAAGAGAAATCTACTAACAGCCGATTGCTCTGGCGGTTGCAACAAGATGAGAACTAGCAATAAGATAAACAACAAAAGGAAGAAACAAATGTTTGCTAATGTAACAACCGACAGAGGAAGCCCCCGGCAGAACAAGCAACCAGTGGCAGCAGGTTCCAGACCGAGCGGCACGGGAGCCCCTTCCTTGCAGAGCAGACGGACGAACAGCACCATTCCCTGCGGCCTGAGTCCACGCAGAGCGTGCCTGCTGCTGCCCGGGGCACGTGCGCCCAGCGCCCAGATGCCGCAGTGAAAGCGAAAAGAAGACGCACACATGCGAGATGCCCTGTGTCCCCATGTGAGAGTCCCGCACTCATGGTGCCTCGGTCGGGCCTGACACTGGGCTGTGGTTCTCCTCCGAGCCTGTTCTTGGTGGATGCTGCAAACTGCAGAGGTGGGTGGTGGTCATGATTCAGGGTCGTTAGGGAAGGCCTGAGGGGGGAGGGCCTTCGGAGTTTCCCTGCTCGGCTGCATCGAGCTGGTGGGAAGACGTTTGAAGAATAAATCTGAAAACATGGAAAGCAAGCAAGCTGCGTCTGAGGATGCAGAAATGGAGTTATTTCTGGAAATAGTTTGAGAGAACAGCCAGAGCAAAGCACGCCCGAACTCGGAACAGCTCTGCGAAGCAAGAAGAGAAACACTGAATGTAGAGCCGGCAGGTGCATGGGGAAGTCGGTGCCGGCGTGAGGAGTCCTCGCCGTCCACTGTGCACAGAAGAAACCACCCAGCCCACCAGCCATGCGGCTGGGGTGTCCTTGACGAACAGAATCAGAAACCAAGAAACACCAGCAGAAGTCAAGGTGCCAATGTGAACAAGCAAGCTGTTCCCAAAGAAAACAAATCAGTGGTTTTTACAAGGAAATCCAAAAGAACCAGCCCCGGCAGCTCAGTTGGTTAGGGCGTTGTCCCGATTTGCCAAGGTTGTGGGTTCCATCCCCAGTCAGGGCACATGCAAGAGTCAGCCAGTGGATACACCAGTCAGTGGGACAACAGACCCGTGTGTGTGTGTGCGTGCGTGCGTGTGTGCGTGCGTGCGTGCACGTGCTCGCGTGTCTCCCCCCACCACCCTGCCTCTCTCCCTCTCCCCCACTTCCTCTCTTTCTCTCTAAAATCAGTAAGAAAGAATTGAAGAAAAAAAACTATCAGGAAGATGTTTAGAATTATAAGAGAGCTAAGTTACACACATAATGTCAAAATTAAGCTACATTTCTGTGTATCCACAGCAGTTGGGACACTTAATTGTAACAGTGCCAGTTAGGATGGTAACAAAAAGTATAAAGTAATTAAAAAATAAATTGAAATAAGAAACAGGTAGGACTAGGGCTCCTCCTCCCGGAGGCATGTGGCCTCAGGCCGGGGGCCCAGGCATTCGGGGGACGGAACGTCGCTGTGGCCCTTCGTCAGGGCCACGCTGACCAGACTGGAGGTGTGCAGACAGAGCCCAGGCATCACTCTGTCACTGCCACCAGGCGACGGGTTCAGTCCTGTCCTCACTTGGACCCCGCAGAAACCATCCGTCCCTGCGGTTAGATGGGGGCTGTGTACAGACCTGGGGTCGCATCCTCCCCCGTTAAGGATGTGTGCGTGCTCCTGGGCAGCTCCCCAGATCCCCGGAAGGAGCCGTGGGTGGGGACGGGGCTCTGTGGTGGGGTTGGTGCAGCGGGGCGGGGGCTGGGACAGTTGTGCACAGATTCCTCTGCATCTGTAGGTCACTGCCAGATTCCAGAGCCCCCTCTGCCCTCTGAAACGGGCGCACGTCTGGTGTTTACACGCGCGCGCACAGTCTTTCCAGAAGTGGAAGTGATGTGCTCTGTTTCTGTGGCCTGCTGTGGTCACATGAAAAACCCAGGTCCTAGCGGTCACTGGGTGGCCTCCCTCATGGAGCAGCGCTGGGTCTGACAGGTGGTGGCTGTCAGGTGGAGCGTGCGTGCAGGGTGGGGGCAGTTGACAGACCTCTTCCCAGTGCGCTGTCCTTGGCCAGAGCAGAGGGGCAGATCCAGGAGACGCAGCACCGGTAATGGCATCAGTGTCCTCTTCGTGGACACGGAGGCGGGAGGCTGTCATTAGGTCTGATTGGAGTGCACATTTCTGGTAAGATCTGAAACTAATGATGTTGCCATAGTGATGCATCTGTGGCCACCGGTGCGTGAGGCATGCAGCAGTTCACTCGGCGGGAGTCGACATCTGTGAGCTGCTGGGGTGCGGGGTGCATCGATGCCAACCCGGGGACAGCAGCACGTGAGCGGCGAGCCGGCAGCGCAAGGCTGAGGGTGCTGCCTGGCGAGGGACGGAGCTGCACGGGACACACGCAGGCGCACCCGGGACAGCCGCACGCTCACCGCGTCCTCGGGGTGTCCGTCTTTGTGCAGAGCACACCATGGCCGACACTCCCGCTGAAACGACAGGCCTCTCCGGCTCTCATTTCAGCTGCGGCATCTGTTTCTCAAAATGCCTTGTGGCTTGGGCCAGAGTCACACGTGAGCCTTGCAGGGTGGAGCAGCCCCTGTGCAGGGCGCCTGCTGGCCAGCCGTGTGTGTTTTGGGGTGTCCTCCCTGCCAGCAGGTGGTGGCCCGTCTCAGGTGGGCACGTGTGTAAGCCTCATTCACAGCAGGTGCACGTGAGGGTCAGCGCTGTCCCACACTCCTCGCACCGTGGCTGAACAGGTCAGACTGGGTTGGGGTGTTGGTGCCCAGAAAGCCCCGTGCACAGCAGGCTCCCTCTGCGAGTCCACGTTCGACCCTGTCAGATGCGTTAAGAGGCAATGCAAACTTTGCAGTTAGATAAATTAAGAGTTTTCTTCATTCTTCCATTGCAAGCTCCAAATAACTTCGTGTGGTAACACCGTCATTGACCCCATGGCTGACCCGGAATCTTGGCAGGAAGTGAGCGCAGTCTGGGGGCTGCCCGCCCTGGGAGCTGGGGGCAGTGGCCGCTGTCTCTGTGACAGCCCCTCCCCCACCCCTTCTGTGCAGGTTCCAGTTCTGGCCTGAGGCCAAGTCTCCAGGCGGAAACGCAGGAACAGCGGAGCAGAAAGCTCAGCGCCTGCTCCTCTGCGGGGCCAGGAGTCCCATCTGGCAGCACCCGCAAACGACGCCTGCAGGACTTCTTCCTCAGAAGTTAATTTCCTGTTTGCCTCTTGGCTCACTGCAGCCCAGAACTGTGTCATTGCAGAGCTACGTTTTGCAGGAATCAGGAGCAAACTTTTGTCAGGGGACGCCTCCTGTCCATGGAGCCTCCACTGCAGGCAGGTCCAGCCAGGTGGCCCCCCGCCGAGGCAGGCACAGTGAGTCCCGCCCCTTTGCCACATTCCAAATTCCGGGCACACTGATTGCTGCTGCGTTGAAGTGAGAAGAACCGGAGCAGCTGCCCGGTGGTTGGAAGCAGGAGGATGAGGCCTGGGGCACCAGTCCGCCGGGCAGACCCCTCACGGCAGCTGCCCCACTGGCCCAGCACTGGGGCCCAGCGCGGGCCTTCCTGCTCAGAGTTAAGTCACCTGTGAGTGCATACTTCCCTAAGATCTTCAGGAACATTGCTGGGATTCATCTTAAATCGTGAGATACTGCATGTGCTCCTCACCTAAAGGCCTGGCTGCGTAAACCCAACGTGTGCGAATGGCAGAAGCTCAGACTCCAGCACTTCACTGCTCATCTGATGAGGGTGCTCGTCATTTGTGGGACTGTATCCGTTCTGAGCACTTAAAACGTGATGTATTAGCATGCTAGAAATTTTAGGAGGTGCGGCAATTATTGTGGTGGTTGAGTCCAGCGATGCACCTTCAAGACAAACCTTCAGGCTGTCGGCATTTGGCATAACCATTTCGCCACAGTCTGAGTTCAGAGGTTCCGGCACGGTGCAGAGCCTCCCGTGCACACCGGCTGCCATCCCTTCCCTCCCCGCCCCCACCCACACCCGCACCCCCACCCGCACCAAGCAACCCCTCGTCTGCTTCCTGCCTCGGCGGTTTTGCCGTTGGACTTCCACGGGACCAGTGTCTCTGGAGCCACGTGACAGTCTCCGGGCTCCTCCACACTGCAGCAGGTGTCGGTGCCTCGTTCCGTGTCATCGTGGAATAATGTTCCACCGCGCGGGCACACCACGCCGTCTGTCAGCTGACGGGCGTTAGCGCTGCTTCTGGGTTTCGCCTCTTCTGAGCAAAGCCGCTGTGAACACTCAAGGTTCCCACCAAGGCAGCTAGGCAAAGCCGCATGTGACGCATCCTTGACAGGAAATCCTAAGGAGCCTTCTCAAGATGTATTAGAACCAGCGAGTGAGTTTACTAAGGTTTTCGGAGACGAGATCAATATGGAAAATGAGTTGGGTTTCTATACAATAGTGATAAACTGTGCAAACATAGAATTAAGTAAATAACTCTATTTACAATCGTATCAGAAAATAAAGTCAACAGTTGGTAGTGTTAAGATGAAACAGTATTCCCCACATTGATCTACAGCTTCTACACGATCCCTTTCAAAATCTCAGCTGCTGTATTTGCAGAGATTGACAAGCTGACCCTAAAGTTCACATGGACACGTGGGCTGGCCCCAGTGCTGTCCCTGGGACGAGGGCAGAACTGAGACCCACACGCCTCGGTGCAGAGCCACAGCAACCACAGCAGTGGGGCCCTGGCAGGGACAGGCATGAAGCCAGGCCCAGAAACACATCCTGCCTGTGTGGGCCGCTGGTAGCAGTGAGGGTGCCGAGCCCTTCGGGGCTCTTCGCGGCAGGTGGCGCAGAACAGGGACGCACTCGCCCCGCCTCCTGCCCTGTGCCCGGCGAGCCCTGGGAGTGGAGCAGCACTGCAGTAAGTGGGCGTCTGTACGTTGCTCCGTCGTCAGAAAAGGCTCAGAACTTGTTTTCCGCCTCCTCCTTCCCAGCTCTGCCCTGCACCAAATGAAGGCCTCTTAGGTACCTCCCCAAGTACAAAGCTTTGTAAATGTGACCCAAGAGGAGAAGGAAATGGTTCAAGCCTGGCTTCAGGGATCTTTTAAATTATTTTAAACTAAATGTGGAAATGCAGTGATGTATTCAGCATGTTAGCCCCTGCTTGTATGTGTCTTTGGTAACTCTGGGGTTTTTGCACACACGTAGAGATTTCTGCAGAAGGCAGCAAGAAGCAAAGTGTAACAGCCCAGTTGGAGCTGGGGATCTTAGGACCTGAAATACCGTCGTCAGGCTGATTGCGGACAGCTCACTGGAGTGATGCAGTGACATGACCATCACTCTGCAGCCTCAGATTTACGGTCTGGAAGTCGCGCCGGATGGAGTCATCGTGACGGTGTGCCTCTGGTTTGGGGAGGCATCTGGTGTCCACAGGATTTACTGCGTTCTGGACGCCAGGGCTTTGTCTTCTGTAATCTCTCGTAAGAGATGCTCTGGAGAAAACCATCCATCATGTGACTCAGACGTAGGACACTTTGCACTCGAGATGGATTTACAGGCCCAGGAGCGGGTCGCCGACGCCAGTTGCCATCCCAGGAGCCGGTGGCAGATGTCGTGCCTCCTGACCAAGGGTCTGTGATGCTGTGTCCCTCCAGCCGCTGTCCTGTGTGGTTGACCGCAGGCCGGGAACCAGCAGACCATGAGCTGCTCTGCACCCTGGACAGACAGCAGCACTCGAGTCCGTGGTCACAGAGAGAGACAGATGCAGAAGGAGACAGGAGGGAGCCTAGGGGTCGGGGAGCAAGACCTCAGTGGGATCCACACAGCCAGGCCGAGCCTGGCCTCCAAGGCAGCTAGGGACCGCAGCCCTATGGCTGGACACGGATGTGTGCGTCAGGCCACACATGGGAGCTCAGGAATGGGTGCTGGCTGTCCATCTGTCTGTCCCAACAGTCACTGGCAGACAGAGTGGGTGAGCGTTTGTCATGGGAGTGTCTTGCTGGTCGGCCCTGGCTGCAGGTATGCCCTGTGCATGCACCTCACCCCCCCCGCCCCACACACATAGCAAGTGCGGGGCCCACATGCCATGGGCATCTCCCAGGCTCCGGTCCACCTATAAGGTGGTGTTAATTAGGAAAGTGGGACCCTGGCAATAATAAGACATCCAAAATCAACATTTTTCTCTCCAAATCAACTCAATAACTAAAGCAGAATGTCATGGGTGCCAAGGGAAACAATTAGTATTTTGCGGGTGTTTTGCAGCCCTGTGAAAAGCTCAACTTCAGTGGTCAAGCGCTGGCCGTGGGCCTGCTCCTACCCCCAGTTCAGTCCCTCAGCACCAGGGTGACCGTGCAGGGACTGGGATACACGGGCTGAGAAGCCTGAGGCCAGCGGACAGGACCTGCTGGACAACCTCGTGGGCTGCAGCTCCCGGGGCCCCTCACTTCTCTGAAGGCGGGCAGGCAGAAGTCGCACACCCGCCACAGCGTGTGTTTACAGGAAGTGGTGCACTGGCGGCGCTCAGGGTCTCTCTCCAGAGTCCTGAGTTGTCCAGCATCTTAACACACTGGGTTCTGAAACCGCAGCGTTCTCTCTGAGCCTCTCCGCGGCGGCGCCTCGTGGCACCTGCTCGTGCAGCCTTCCCCAGAGTGACCAGCCAGCCGCCGGGATGCTGCCCGCGTCCACCGAGGGCCCCTCGAGCCCTCGGCCGCTCGCTCAGCTGACGGGCACGTGCCTCCCTGCCCCTCGCCTCCCTGCCCCTCGCCTCCTGCTCTCCTTCCGGGGCCTCTGTGCACCTGCTTCTGTTGAATGAAAAATGCTCCGTTTTTCAAAGTTAGGTTTTTTAAAACCTACAGACACACTCATTTAGGGCGAGTTGTCTTGCTTGGGCATTGCTCTGCGTGTAACCTGTGGCTTTATGCCTGTCCGTTCAGAACGGGCCAAAGCTCTGTGTGTATCGGACAGCAGGCCTTGGCCATGGCCACAGGCTAGAGAGGGGTGCAGCCTTCTGGGTCTCTGGGCCACACACAGACACAAACACTCACAAAAACTGAGGAGCAAAACAACGTGTTCCGTGAACTTACGGTTTCGTGTTGAGCCTCATTCAGAGCCGTCCTGGGCCACACGCGGCCTGTGGGCTGCAGGTTGGACACGCCAGCACCAGGCTGTGTCTCCCCAGGCCCGGGGTCCTTCCCGTCGTCACAGCCGTTGGGGAGAGGGCCTGGTGTGCTGGGAAGGAGACGCCTGCCCACCCTAGTGAGAGGGGACAGTGGCGGGGGACGTCCGGAGAGCTGTGTCGTAGAGTGGCAGAAGGTCGCAGTCCTGACGAGCCTCTGTCCCCTGTCGCAGGCACCCTCACCCAGAACGAGATGGTGTTCAAGCGGCTGCACCTGGGCACCGTGTCCTATGGGACAGACACGATGGACGAGGTCCAGAGCCACGTCAGGAGTGCCTACGCACAGGTGAGCAGACGGCTCCGGGCCGGCGCGGGGGCCGTCTACACTAAGTAGAATGCGTCATCAAGTGTGTCTTAACCATCCCTCTATTTTTTTCAGAGTTGATAAGGCTTTCTTGTGCATTCTTTTGTTTCTCCACCTTTTCAATGAGCAAAAGTACACGGTACAGGTTAGGAGCCCAGTGTACCTGCTGTCCATGTCAGCGGGCACCACACACTGCCGACCTGTCCTCCTCCCCCGATGGCTCCTCAGTGACGCACGTCCCGTCCCCCATCTCCGCACGCTGCGTGGGCTCGGGCTGGATGGACGCGTGTGTGCGGCTCTCCCGCGCTGCCAGAGCTCAGGGCGGGCAGCCCCGTGTCAGCGCTGAGGACGCCTCTCCCCCCTGCAGCCCCCAGGGCCATGGGCTGCCCCCCAGTTCAGACTCCACTCACTGCCACGGAGCACTTTGTGCTCTGGAGTATTTACTCGGGAGAAAAATCTAAAAGTCTTTTTCCCTCTCCTAGCAACCTGTGCTGGCATTGAACGTGCCAGGTGGCATGTGCTTTTTAAAAAATTTGTATTTTCCACGAATATGAATATGATTGTACCAGCTCCAAGTAAGTGATCTTATTAGAAAAACAGAAAGCAGAAGATATGAGACATTCTATAAAAATAGCAAATTTGTAATATTTTTTCTATTTAAGAGGCGTTTAAAAGCCCTTTACCCTGCAAGCTGCCTAAATTCACTGGTTAGACGGCACTTTCCTGTGGTGCTCACGTTGCTGCGCGTGCTCCTCGTTGTTGAGACGGCGGACCGCCGGGGCAGCCGTGACGCACACAAATCTCTTACAACCTGACTGTGCTCTCCCGCTGGAAGAATCCGGCGGTAGAGGGCGTAATCCCTAATGGAGTTTGTGGGAAATCAGATCATGCCGCCACCGGTAAGCTGGCGTGGTTCCGAGGCAGGCGGCAGCCAGGCTGTGCTCAGCGGCGTCGGCGGCGTGGAGCGGGTGCAGGTGCGGGTCTGATGCGCTGACGGGCGCCAGCTGCGGGGGGGCGGGCCTCCGTCAGACAGCTCTGCAATTTGATGGGCAGAGTCATCACGGTTCGGTGGCTCCGCACGCCCGTCCGAGACCGAGGACTTGGCTCCTGAGGAGGGCTGCCAGGAGGGAGCCCGGAGAGACTGCGGAGCGTCTGACAGTCCCGCAGGTCGGGGGCGGGCCCCCTGCCCCCCCCAAGCAGGAGGAGGTGAAGGATGTGAGTCCTCCGCTGGGCTGGCGGGCTGAGGCCCCCCGGGCACAGCTGTGTGTGCTCGGCGGGCCGCTGCCTCCGGAGAACAGGGCCCTGAGAGGCCGCGGGGGGCTCGTTCTCCCCCGGGACGCGGTGGCTCCTGTGGTCGGTCACTGTGGTCCACGGCACTGGACACGGCCTTCAGAAAGGTTGCACGCTGGACTGATTGATGGCGTTCTGCAGAGGTTCATACCACACCAAGCGGAGCACTTGGGAAGACAGACCAAAGAGGCTGTGTTATGTATCATTCTGTGTTGTTCTGAAGCTGCCTCTGCGTTTAGAAGCAGTGAGTGAACACTTACGAGGGACCCAGCACACGTGTGCCTCCGTTGGAGTGGACCTGGGGCCTGGGGAAAGGAAGCTGTCCGAGGTTACGCGTCACAGTGACCTTTTGTGTGTGTGTGTGTGTGGCCAGTGGGAGCTCCCGAGGCACTTCCTCGCGGTCGGACGAAAACTGGCCCTGCCAGCACGTGGGGTGCAGGAGGCCAGCAGAGCCAGGCCGGGGTCTGGTGCAGCTGCTGCTCTGCCCCAGCTAGTCCGCTCGTGAAGACGGGCTGTGGGACCCGCGCCAGGGCCAGCCCTGCTTTGTCTCTAACCCCGTGACTTCCGTGTCTCTCAGCTGCACTCCCAAGCTGGCGGGAACGGTGCCAGTTCGACGCCACCGAGAAAAGCCCAGCCCCCAGGCCCCCGAGTCAGAAAGAGTGTGAGCAGCCGCGTCTACGAAGTGGTGAGAGCCATCGCCCTGTGCCACAACGTGACGCCCGTGTACGAGTCTGGGGCTGGCGTGACGGGGGAGACCGAGCACGCGGAGGCGGACCAGGACCTCAGCGACGAGAACCGCACCTACCAGGCCTCCAGCCCCGACGAGGTCAGTCGGCCTCTCGGAGAGCCCTGTGTCCCGCAGCGCTCCCCCGAGGGCCAGCGGCCCAAGCTGGGGCCCCGCGGGGCCAGCGGGCATGCTCTGGGGCGGGCGTGCTCTGGGGCGGGCAGGGGGCTGGACCACGGTGTCTGACGCGGGCGAGAGCGACAGGCCACCCGGAGCCCGGGCCGGGTCTCCAAGGGGAGCCCTGGGGCTGCTGGTGGGATTCCCAGTTATTTTTGTCAGCGTTTTAGAATGAAATAACTTTTAAAATCTATGGGAAACAAAAATTGTAAAATCTTAAATACAGGAAGATTTAATTAACCTTGCATTATTATTTGATTTTTAGGTTGGGAAAACTCTAAACTAATATGCCCAATTCCTATACAGTCTTAGTAAGCTTTATGTGTAGTTTCCATATGCACTTTTTTCTTTTTTTTTTTTATTAAGACTTTATTTGTTTTTAGAGAGGTAAAGAGAAGAAGAGGGAGAGAAACATCAGTGTGTAGTTGCCTCTCAGGCGCCCCCTACTGGGGACCTGGCCCACAACCCAGGCACGTACCCTGACTGGGAATCAAACCAGTGACCCTTTGATTCACAGGCCAGTGCTCTGTCCACTGAGCCACACCAGCCAGGGACTTACGTACTTTTTCTACTCTGGGTTCTTAATTCTGTAAAGTAATCAAACCAGCCATGGCAAATACTTAAAAATACTTATCATAGCCCTGGCTGGTGTAGCTCAGTGGATTGAGTGTGGGCTGCGAACCAAAGCATCGCAGGTTCGATTCCCAGTCAGGGTACATGCCTGGGTTGCAGGCCACGGCCCCCAGCAACCGCACATTGATGTTTCTCTCTCTCTCTCTCTCTCTCTCCCCCCCTCCCTTCCCTTTCTAAAAAATAAATAAAATCTTAAAAAAAAAAAAACTTATTATAGATGTACCATGTTACCTGCCAGAAGGCAATATCAATTTTGATGAAAAGACATAGGGTTTTTATATGTGGTAACACTTTGAGTCCTAAATGAGGAGTTCACAATAAAGGGAATGTCCTTGATTCAGAGATTACTACAACTAAGTAGACACTGCCGATCTTGTCCTTCAAATGGTAATTGTTTAAAATTTCTCTCTACTCTGGAAACGCGACAATGATGAAAGAGTTGCAGAATGTTAGGAAATCCTGTGGGACATTAGTAACCTGGGGGAAGCCCTCACACAGATTTTTGTCTGGAAGTGAAAGGGTGATTGTCACCCTGATTTTTGAGGAGCTGGCTGTGTAGACACGGCGTCTGCAGGGCCCTGGAGCCTGTGGGCAGTTGTCTAGTTGCAGTTTGTAGAACTCACCTTCTGCAAGAGGAGAAGAGAGACCCTACTGGCAGAGCTCACAAAGGAGGCAGCAGTACAGACTTGCTCATTTCCCGTCTTTCCCACAGAAAGGGGCGGAGCCTCACCTCCGTGCTGAGAGCGGAGCGGAGCTTCGGGTGGCGAAGGGGAGGGCAGGTGTCCCCGAGCAGCTGCCCCGCCCCCGGCAGCCAGCCCCGCGCACTGTGGTGCCTCCCGACCAGACCAGTGGGGTGCCGGTTCCGGGCTCCGGGTTTGTCTGCGGGCTGGGTGTGGTCTTGGCTCTCCAGAGAGGGTGCTGCAGCCTGGGGAGCATGCTCTTAGGTCGGCCCAGTGCTTTCAGACACCGAGCAGGGGTCACCTACATAAGGGTGCCCCGTGTCTTCAGTCCACCCACGGCCGGGGGGGTCGGGGTCAGAGCCTCCCCCCGTCAGCGGAGCCCTCCTGGCCAACCTCTGGGCCAGCTGGACACTGAAACCCAGCCAGGCGTGGGCAGCCCGTCGGGGACGGGGTGCTGCTTGGAGCAGGCGGCAGCAGCCCGACAGCCCGCACCTGCACATCAGCTAGCGATGACTGTGGGTTGCGACGACTGCAGTGATGGGACCGGAACGCGTGCTTCTAGATGAGGAGGAGTGTGTGCTCGGCCCAGGAAGCCGTGGCAGGTCGCAGGGCAGGCAGGGCCCGAGCGGAGGCCCTCAGGCCTGCAGGGGGTAGGGGGCAGGGGCGGGGGACACGCCATAGGAGGTGTGGCAGTGGAAGGAGCCGCGCCTCTGAGACCCAGGGCAGGACCCGCGGGATGCTGTCCTGGGTCACAGGGCGTGGCTCCCGGTCTCCCCCGGGTCAGGTTCAGGTGAAGGGCCCAGTGGGGAGGTCACTGGAGGGCCCCTCCCTGACCCCTTCCCTGCAGGGATTCAACTCTGACCTCGTGACTGAAGTCGCCGAGAATACAGACCACTGTCGTTTCCCTCCCTCCTGCCTCTCCGAAATCATTCTCGTTCCCTGCAGGTAGCTCTACCTGGTAAACTTCAAAAACATCAGAAATCTACAAAAGGTGGATTCCAGTACACTGAGTGCACATGAAATAAAGTGAAGCTGTGGTTTAAAACTGTACAAACAGCTCTGGCTGGTGTGGCTCAGTGGACTGAGCGCAGATTCGCCGGTTCAATTCCCAGTCAGGGCACATGCCTGGGTTGGGGGCCAGTTCCCAAGGTTGGGGGTGTGTGAGAGGCCACCACACATTGATGCTTATCCCCCTCTTTTTCTCCCTCCCTCCCCTCTCTCTCTAAAAATAAATTTGAAAAAAAAACAAACACCCATACAAACAAGGATGTGTTTTCAGCACAGCACAACTGTCCTGCTTGTCTCTCGAGCTTCTTGTTGAGATCCTAAAAAGTGAGTGGGAAATAGACCCCCCCCACTGTGAGCAGGTGGAGTGAGTACAGGTGGACCCAGCAGCTACAGAGTCGGTCGGTCCCCAGCTGCTGTCTCACTGTAGAACGAGGTCAGGCGAACAGAGGGATTCAGGCGGAACCAGAAAGCACCTGGAAAGCCTGTCCTGCGCTGAGCCTGCCGGCGCGGCCGCGTGGGCCACCAGACCCTGGCTCCCTGCAGCCAGCACAGTGGCGTGCGGTCAGCTGCGCCTCTGTCTTGGGACGCGAGGCCAGGGGCTCCAGCCCCAGCTGGTGGTGGCCCCGCAGGGTGGCGTTAGGAGGGGGCGCTTGGCACGGCCGCAGCAGCGCCCAAGTCCTCGGCGCAGTGGGCTGAGCAAATCCGTCGCCTCTTGGCAAGCTTTCCGGGCGCCAGCCTGTCCCTCTCCTTCCCGGGAAGACAGCGGCCTCACTTCTCGGTGGCATCCTCCAGGTGGCCCTGGTGCAGTGGACGGAGAGCGTCGGCCTCACGCTGGTCAGCAGAGACCTCATGTCCATGCAGCTGCGGACACCCGGCGGCCAGATCCTGACCTACCGCGTCCTGCAGATGTTCCCCTTCACCTCGGAGAGCAAGCGCATGGGCATCATCGTCCGGGTAGGTGCCGCCCGCCCCCACATGGGGCTTCTCCGCAGCGGCCCGGGCAGCGCCCGCCCGAGCCGCGGCTTCCTCAGGCGACTCTGTGTCCGGCAGCGGGCAGGTGCCGGCAGCCCTAGCACCAGAATAATTTAGGCCATGTAGTTGCCGAGATGCGTCCCCGTTAAGTTTTTTCTCAGATGCCAAAACTCTGTGTCAGAAGTTGGCTAAACAAGAAAGCTTGTTCAGTCAGGCAGTGGAACGTTGAGAGGATTCACACTGACCTTGCAGCCCAAGGTCAACCCAGGGCGACATCCAGGGACACTGTCTTCCGAGGGCAGCACGGTGCCTCGGAATGCGCAGCCGTGTCCTCGAGCTCTGCCGCCCGGGATCGGGGTGTGGGGCGGTGCGTGCGGAAGGGGGCTGAGCCGCTCAGCACAGGGGCCCTGCCGCTCGGGGCCGCCCGGGGCCGTGTCCCTGCCTGAGCGCGCGCCTGTCTGTCCCCCCTCCCTCCCTGCAGGACGAGTCCACGGCGGAGATCACCTTCTACATGAAAGGGGCCGACGCCGTCATGGCCGCCGTCGTCCAGTACAACGACTGGCTGGAGGAGGAGGTAGCCGCCGCTCGGGGTGCCGGCGCGCGGGCAGAGGGGCGCATGGGGCAGACAGGACAGCCTCTCCCGCGGGAGACGCTGGTGCCCAGGGTCGACCGCGGTGCGGGTCTCGGGCCCGTGGTGGGCCGCGGCCGTCGTGCCACCGCAGGGGCCTGGGGAGGCCCGGGGAGCCCTTCAGTGAGGAGCAGCCTCCTGCGCGAACAGCTCCGGCTCTGGGGCTGGTGGGGTCGCTGGCACCTGCATGCACGCGGGCCCTGCAGAGGGACGTGTGCTCACAGTAGTGAGAAGGTGGGCAGCGTTACTGATCGCTCGTTAAAAACCTGAAATAATGACGTGTACATAGCCAGAATTATATTTTAACATATTCATTGTGGCATTGGAGTTGTTTACAAGAAGATTTCGGCCCACTTCTAACTTGCACTCGGCGTTCGCTCCAAAGACAGAATCTGAGATGCACACGTGACCGACGCCGTGTGTCGTCAGACTCCACCCCCAGAGCAGACAGCGTCGGTTCCAGCTCGCAGGGCGTCGTGGTGGGGGGTCCGCGTGTGTGCGTCGGCAGGCAGCCGGGCCGCCCAGCCAGCTGCGCGGGAGCCCTGCGCTCCAGGGCCGGGGCGGGGCTGCGGCCTCCCCCTCGGGGAGCGGGGCGGCCAGTCGGCTGTGCGGATCAATAGCCCCTCGGGCTCTGGGGTTTAATCAGGGATGTGAATAAACTCAGTTCCCTGGAGACCTAGTAAAATGTCATAAAAATTACTTCTGGTCATAATGACGTGCAATTAATTATAAAATACTTGTTTAATTTATTTAGCTTTATGAGGTCAAATCAATAACTGTCATGCAACAGACAGACAATGTCAGGTTGCCTTTCACAAAGATAACTTCATTAGCGACCCCAGTGCATCCACGCCCTCCACGCCGAGGCCTCTCCCCGTGGTGGCTCTGGCCTCCACCCCCGCCCTGTGTGGGGCTCTCGTGCTCCGAGGCCTTCCACCTGCCAGGGGCCGGTCCGTCCACCGCGGGCCACGCAGGCTCCTCTGTCTCCGACACGCCCTCCAGGCTGCCGGGTTGTCGGCTGCGTGCTCGTGCTCTCCAGACACTGACAAAAACCCGACAGCAAAAGGCACCGGCCGGTCTCACCCACCCACGCGGGGCCGCCTCACCGCAGCTGCGGCGTGGGTCTGTGCAGACGCACGGAGGCCCGTCCGGACACAGTGCCCCGGGCTGTCACCGCCCTCCCTCTGAGGGCCGGTGTGCCCCTCGCCCCAGACCCGTTGTTGGGGGGGACAGGAGTGAGGGCTGGGGCCCGGGGAGGACGAGGGCCTGCCGTCAGCTCTTCCCGCTGTGTATGTGTGACCGGGAGCGTCAGCTCCAGGCCACCGACGGGGACTGCAGCCCGGCTGGGGGTGCACCGTGTGGGCCTGCAGACCAGAGCCCCTCGCTGCCCAGTGCCGGAGGGGGTCTGCCGGGGTGGGGGGGGCCGGGGCAGGAGGAGAGGTCATCTGGGGGGGCCGGGTCTGCACGTGGCAGCAGGGGTCAGTCGAGCGGGTAGGGAGCTTAGGCCTGGACGCTCCATCAGGGGGCTGGCGGCCCGACCGCGGGCGATGCGGGGCCTCGGCCCCTGTCTTGGATTCTGCTCAGAAGGCCGGACACTCCCGGTCTCCATCCCTGTGTGCGGGGCACAGAGCCAGCACCCGGGGCAGCCCTCCCCGCTGTGCAGACCTGCCGCCGGAGTCTCCCTCTCTTCCCACTAAGAAGGAGCTAGTCGGTTCCCTCTCTGGTGGTGCATTTGCTTAAGCGCATCTCATCACCCGCTGCGTGTTTTTAAGCGGACGTCGGAGGCACTGTCTTTGACGGGCTCTGCAGCAGCCGTGCTTTCGAGCGGAAGCACTTCCCGAGGACCGCGCCGTCCCTGGTGCACGGCGGCAGGGCCGGTTCGCTCCTGGCCCTGCCTTTGCCAGGCCCCTGCCCAGAGCCCATCACTGGGAATGGCCTCGGGCTCCACGGGGAAGTGGCCACCATGGTCTCTGCGGACCACGAGTGCCCAGGACAGGTGACGCGGCCAGCCTTCGGGGCTCTCACGTGTCGGAGTTTGGAAGTCGAGAGGGACTCGGTGAGAAGGGCTGGGCCTCGCGCAGCAGGTGGTCCGGGGGCCGCGCCGCTGGCTGGAGGAGCCCCGGCTGCCTTGTTCTTGACGCGCCCCGCCAGGCGAGCCTCGGATGGGCGGGGCGGAGCACTGCCGCTCAGCGTGTGTCCCGTCGTGGCCGAGACGTCACCCTCACAGCAACACTCCGCAACAGTCCTTCCTCCTCACTTCCCGCCCGCGGGGGCTCCCGCCTGCCCCCGGCCCCCGGCACCAGCCTGCGAGGGCCCCATGCGGCTCAGGGCCAGCGTGGGGAACGGTGCGGCTCACGGGTCCTCGAGGCCACTTTGAGAAGGGGTCTGAGACGGGGAGGGATGGGGTTGGTCGTCTGGAGAGCCACCCTGGGGCGCCGGCCCCTCACGTCCCCTCACCTCCTGTCCCTAGAGTTCAGGAGGGCAGGGGTGACCGCGGGTGGGACAGCGGGCGGTCTCCCGAGCCCTGGGCCTGCGTGTCTGGCCCGTGGGCCCGGGACACAGGGACTGGGAGCGGAGGGGGATAGGCAGAGGACGTGGCCACAGCCCGGACGGCCACCCTGACCCCGCAGAGGCCCCTGTGACCCGTGTCTCCTCTTCCAGTGCGGGAACATGGCCCGCGAGGGCCTGCGCACCCTCGTGGTTGCGAAGAGGGCGCTCACCGAGGAGCAGTACCAGGACTTCGAGGTGAGTGGGCGGGTCCCCGCACACGCGCGCGCCCGGCCCTCCTGGGCCCCCGCGCTGCCGTGGGAGGGGCTCTTCCTGCCCGGGCCACACGAGGCCGCGGGCTGCAGCTGGGGTGTCAGGAGCCAGGCCCGCCCCCGGCTGCGGCCCGCCCCCCGGGTCCCTGTCCTGAGCCCTGCGTGATTGCGTGATTGACAGCACAGCCCCGTCCGTCCCCAGAGCCGCTACGCGCAGGCCAAGCTGAGCGTGCACGACCGGGCGCTGAAGGTGGCCGCGGCGGTGGAGAGCCTGGAGCGGGAGATGCAGCTGCTGGGCCTGACGGGCGTGGAGGACCGGCTGCAGGCGGACGTGCGGCCCACGCTGGAGCTGCTGCGCAACGCGGGCATCAAGGTACCCCGCACGCACCTGCCGGAGCTGGCGCCTCCTGGCGCGGGGCTCCGTGTCCCGGGACGCCCCGCCCCACCTGGGGCTGCCGGGGGTGGGGCCAGAAGCGCAGGGACAGGTGGGGGCGGAGGCTGCTGCAGCGCCCCCTCAGGGCTCGGGCTGCCCCTGGCCGGAGCGAGGGGTGGGGGGGCGGCAGCGACGCAGGCACGAGGGCTGCGGCAGGGAGGTGAGTGAGCCGCGCACACGCAGACCTGTCCCAGACCCAGGCCGACCGCCGCGGGTGGGGAGACGCGCCCGTTGCCGCCCGCTCCCTCCTGCTTCTGCACCCGCGCCGGCCCGTGGCACTCACAGGGGTGCGTGCCCCGTGGGTGAGCGTCTGGGTGTCTGTGTCCACTTCTGCTCAGCTGGGGGAGTCGTTCTGCGCTTCTTCTCTTCCTTTTCCGGGTGAAGGAAACCCGCCCCCCTCCCTCCACATGACGCCCCCGAAACCCAAGTCGCTGCTCCAGCCCGCACGCCCCCCCGCCCCCGGGCGGCAGGCGGGCCCCCGCGGGGCGGGTCTGGTCTGGTCCCGAGTCTCGGCCCCAGCCCTGTGCTCCCAGCCCGTCCGGCCTTGGGCCCCGGCTCGGGAAGGGGGCAGAGCTCGGACACGGAGCGAGCCACAGCACGCCCCGCGAGTCAGGGCACCTCGCACTCGTCTGTCTCCTGCTTCCGAGCGTGCGCGTCTGTGTCTGGTGCCCGAGACACCCGAAGGTTCAGGTGACGAGGAGTCACTGGGAGTTGGTGCTGCTGTCACAGAAAACACAGAGACTCATCGGTCATATGTCGAATGTCCTGGTTTTGCTCTTTCCGCTTACTCTGGGGATGTTTACATACGCAACGTGTGTACACGTGTGTGCTTTGAAGGTTTTCCTTGATACGGCTTCCAGCCTAACGACGCCTGTTCACCCACTGGAGCCCAGTTTCCAGCCAAAAGCCAGCCAGCTGGACGTGGGTGGCGGGGGTCCTCCCAGCACCCGGCCACGACCGAGCGGTGCCTTGTGCCCCAGGGCGCAGCCCTGAGCCTGAACTTCTCTTCGTGGCTCCTCGCTTGAGCGAGGGGAGTTTCCAGAGACACCGTCATCGTGGCCGACACAAACCTCACGGCCTCTCCCCAGCTGCGTGCCGGCTCCCCGGCACACGCACAGCGCCGTGCCGCCGGCACCGCCACCTCCGCCAGAACTTCTTCTCTCGCAAGTCTGGCACCCTGTCCACGTGAAGCTAAGCTCCCGTCCCCTTCCCGCAGCCCCTGGCTGTCACCCACCGTCTGCCTCCTGTCCCCCGGACCCCAGGGACCCCTACAAGGGGGGCAGGACAGCAGTTGCTCTTTGTGACCGTCCGCCTTCCCGCGGCATGGCGTCGGCAGGCCCAGCCCGGCACACCGTGTGCCCCGTGGTGTGCTCGTCCGCCCACCCTCCGGGGGCCCGCGGTCGCCCCCAGGTTTCAGGCAGTGTGAGTGGTGGTGCCGTGACCCTGGGGCCCTACGAGGAGAAGAGAGAGTCGTGGGTGGGCCACCAGTGTGAACTGTCTCCTAGATATGGATGCTGACGGGCGACAAGCTGGAGACGGCCACCTGCATTGCCAAGAGCTCGCACCTGGTGTCCAGGACGCAGGACGTCCACGTCTTCAGGCCCGTAAGTCAGACCCGCCGGCGCACCCGCAGCTCAGAGCACCTTCTCCGCCGGCAACGCCCGCTGGTCCCGTGGGAGCGTGCAGCCGCCTCTCCCTCGTGACCGGCCGTCAGCTCTGAGAGAGGTGCTGTCGTGTTCCCACTCACCCCACCCAGTGTGCTCGGCCACAGAAGTGGGTCCCACTGGGTGCACTGGCTGCGGCCAGAGGCCGCCTGTGGCAGAGACCGGGTCCGTGTCGCTGAGAAGCCCGTCCCCCGCACTGCCGGGGTTCCTCGCACAGCCATGTGCCTGTCTTGGCACAGACCGGGCACCGGGTCCCTGCACCCCGTCTGTGAAGCCGCCCCTGGGTGGGGGCCCCACGCCCTGCAGCCGCAGCCGCTGCCACCACCCGTGGGCTGGAGCCGCCTCGGGGGGGCCAGGTCAGACGCGGAGCGGGGACCTGGCTCTCAGCTACCACCGCCCCCCGAGGAAGGGCTCCTCCCTGATTCGCTCAGAGAAAACTAACACACATGATTAAATATGTGTGTTTACTGTGTGTGTGGCTTCTGACCACATTTAATTCCAACAAAAAATAAAATGAGAGTTTCTAGGGTCCTGATGGGTGGTGGGCGGGCAGATGCTGTGTGTCTGCGTCTGCTCTCAGTGCGTCCCGGGCACCTGCCGACGCAGACACCGAATATCATTTACACGTAAACGCAGTTTGTTCCAAAGCATCAGAATCACAGATTAGGCCCTGCAGACGACTATTTGCAATTAAATTATTAATGATTCTGATAAAACTTCAGATCAATTTTTGTTGACTTTTCAGTGTTATAGCACCACAAACTAAAATTTCTACCATAAAATGTACCTATTTAAGGATGAGTCTGAGATTAATTTGGACCACATATGAAACTTTTAATCCATCCCAGCCCTATAGTGCATCCTCTCTTTCACGCCCCATGAAACTTCCACGGAAAGTGCGTCCGAGCCCGTGTGTCGGTGTTGGCCGTGCCTCCGTTCCGCAGCTGATGACGCCTGAACGCCGCAGCTTGGTTTCTCTCGTTCAGTGTCCGCCAGCTGGAGCACACGGAGACGCGGGGCCCCGGGGCCCGGACAGGGGAGCGGCTCGGCGGGGGCACTGGCCCCATCGCCCGGCCTCCCTCTGCCCAGGAGCTCGGCCCCCAGCGCCCCTGCGTCTCCGTGTGGCCACGCTGCAGATGGTGGTGGTGGGGGCCGCGGGGACAGCAGGGGCGGCCGTTGTCCGTCTCCTGACAAGCCACTGTCCTCTGCCCGCCGTGCTGTGCCGGGTCCCATTGTGGGGCTTCGGGTGCCGCCGACCAGGGCGTGGGCCGAGCTCGGTCCGCCGGCGTCTGCCCCCGGTGCCGTCACAGGGACCTGCGAGCGCTGTTCTCCCGGGCCTCCTCGGGGGGGTCGGGGGGGGACCTTTTGGTCTTCGGTCACCTGTCTGAACGTGTCAGGGACCCACGCTGAGGGCTTGTGTGTCGCTGCCCGCACGTGGGCATCACGGCTGCCCTCTCCCTCCCCCCGACCCCGGCGCAGGTGGCCAGCCGCGGGGAGGCCCACCTGGAGCTGAACGCCTTCCGGAGGAAGCACGACTGCGCGCTGGTCCTGTCTGGGGACTCCCTGGAGGTGAGGCCGTCCCAGCCCCGCCCAGCCTGTGGCTGTCCGTCTGTCTGTCCGCCCGCACGCGTCAACTCCCCCCACAGGCTGAGGGCCCGCCGGGGCCGGGCGGGGGGGCGCGTCCTCGCTCACCTCCGACGGTTCGGTGACTCCTCCCGTGCGGGGGCGGGGCGGGGCGTGGGGGACGGGGACCCGCACGCTCGGGCGTGACCGGCCCGTGTTCCAGGTGTGCCTGCGGTACTACGAGCACGAGCTCGTGGAGCTGGCCTGCCAGTGCCCCGCCGTGGTCTGCTGCCGCTGCTCGCCCACGCAGAAGGCCTGCATCGTGAGGCTGCTGCAGCAGCACACACGCAGGCGCACCTGCGCCATCGGTGAGCTCACGCCCCCCCCCCCCAGCATGTACACACACGGTGCCTGGGGCTTCCCCGTCCCTGTAGGTTAAGAGAAACCGGCGTCATGAAACTCACGGTCAGAGTCCTGCTCGACCTGTGACGGCAGGCAGCGTCTGCGGTGACAGACACCGGGGCAGTGTAGGTCCGGTCCCCGGCCCCACCGTTGTTTCCGCTTCCCAGGTGACGGAGGAAACGACGTGAGCATGATCCAGGCCGCAGACTGCGGGATCGGGATCGAAGGGAAGGTACGTCCGCTCCGTCAGAGCATGTCTCGCGTGCACGCCGGGGCGCAGCCCAAGAGCCTCCTGGGTGGGGGCCGGGCGCGCGGGGAAGGGTGGGCCCTGCCCCGAAGAGACGCGGGGAGAAAGCAGAGCAGCTCGGTGCCGCTTCCTCCGGGGGGCCTGGGAGGGACCCGCGGGCCCCCGTGGGCGCCGCCGTGTCCTCCGCAAACCCCCCTGGTGCCCCCGGGACCTGCAGCTTCTCTCTCCCGCGTGGCACGTGGGTCACTCGTGGGCGTCCTGTCCCTGGGCCGGCCGGGAGCCGGGGTGGGGGGCTGGTCTTCTGGGCCCTCGGGACTCCCTTGGGAGGACCTGGAGACGAAGCCGCAGAGCCACTGCTCCCTGGGCCGCTCTGCTCCCGCAGCCGACAGTGCGCCCTTCACGGGGCTTCCTGCGGTCGCACCCGGGGGCTTTGCGAGGCGGCGGGCAGGCGGTGTTTGTAACACGAGGGAACTTGGGCTGATGGTCCTGACCGTGCCCGGGAGCCCCGAGATCCGCGGGCCAGGCCCGTGGGCCCACCGTGTGCACCTCTGCCAGGTTTCCGTGACACCGAGAGGCAGCGGAGCACGGTCCCCACATCCTGGCGGGCATGGCGGCAGCCCTGTCGCCTGCCCTGGAGACCGCCCCGTGCTGGTGGGTGGGGAGGCCCCGGCCCCCTCTCGGTGGGTTCTGAGCTCCGCAGCGGAGCGCAGGCGTGCCGCCCGGTTCGCAGGGAGCCCCTGTGCCTCGCAGGAGGGGAAGGCGGCCTCGCTGGCGGCGGACTTCTCCATCACGCAGTTCCGGCACATCGGCCGGCTGCTCATGGTGCACGGGCGGAGCAGCTACAAGCGGTCTGCGGCGCTCGGCCAGTTCGTCATGCACCGGGGCCTCATCATCTCCACCATGCAGGTGCGCGGGGGCGCACACGGGGGCGCACGCGGGCGGGCGGGCGGCCTGGGGAGGGCCCGTGGCTGACGCTGTCCCGCCCTCTCTCCAAGGCCGTGTTCTCCTCCGTCTGCTACTTCGCGTCCGTGCCCCTGTACCAGGGGTTCCTCATGGTCGGGTGAGTGCCGGCAGGAGGCCACGGTGGGGGGGTCCGCGCACACCTGGTGCTCGGACGGCCGCGCCGGCGCAGGAGCCATGCTCTGCGGGCGCGAGGGGGGGCGCCGCCCATCCGCTGACCCTCTCGCGGTTCTGTCATGAAATGGGGATTTCTGTTTTCACAGCAAATCGTTTGTCAGGAACTCGGGTTGGCCGAAAAAGTTCATTTGGTTACTTCCATGGTATGATGGCTCTAGTAGCAGTTAGCTGTCTGACTTCATTGGAAACAATTTTGTTACGTTGTATTGTGATAGCTGTCCTATCAACAGGCATTCCTAAAAAGTTATCTAAATGAGTGAATTTTTACGTAGTCATTTCAGTATTGAAGATGGAAGGGAATATGCAACATTTTCAGCATATTAGGCTTTATTATTTCAAGAAAGGTAAAAACACAATTGAAACACACACACAAAGACTTGTGCAGAGTGTGGAGAAGGTGCTGTGACTGATCGAACGTGTCACAAGTGGCGTGTGAGGTGCCGTGCTGGAGACTCCTCGCCAGACACTGCTGCGTGGTTGTGTGGACCGGCTGGAGTTGACGGCAATCAAATTGAGACATTAATTGAGAACAATCAGTGTTACACCCTAAAGTTATTGGTGAAAATGAAAAACGTGTCTTTTATGGAAAAAAGCAAATGGACTTTTTGGCCAACCCGATAATGACCAGAAACGGGGAGCACCCACCGATGAGTGCTGGGGTCACAGACGCCTGCACGGCCAACAGCCCGGACAGTCCGGCGGGGGTGCGTGCTGGCGCGACGGCGCCTGGTGCCTCCCCAGGGAGTCGGCCGACTGCGAGTGCCGCCTCCGTGGGCTGCCTGCTGCGTGACGTGTGCGGGCAGGTTGCGGTGACTGAGAATGTGGGGTGGAGAGGTTCGTGGTGGCCGGGGGTCGGGGAGCTGGGCGGGGAGAGGTGCCAGGGGAGCCTGGGGGAGGGCTGCCTGGGTCAGCCCCAGGTCCCTGTCCCCATCCCGGCCTGAGGCCGGGCTGCCGTTTGCCAGATGCCCCCACTGGCTAGAGGGCCCAGGTTCTGTGTTACGAGTGATCACTGCACGGGAGGCCCCAGCCGCCTCAAGCGTTCAGTGAGGAAGGAAAACCGGGTTCCGCCCACCGCCTGCCTGGGGGTGGAGCTTACCGCCCCTGTTGCTGGGGGGGCGGGCGGGGGGTTCAGCTTCGGGAGAAGTCGCACTCGGGCCGCCCCCCTCACGCTGACCCCGTGTGCTCTGGGCCCTCAGCTACGCCACCATCTACACCATGTTCCCCGTGTTCTCGCTGGTGCTGGACCAGGACGTGAAGCCGGACATGGCCATGCTGTACCCGGAGCTCTACAAGGACCTCACCAAGGTACGGCCCGGGGCCGGGCAGCGGTGCCGGGCGGGAGGCAGTCTCCCGCAGGTTTTAAATCTGTTCTCCGTCCTTGGAGACGTTTTCTAATCTCTTCTCGTCCTTTTCGTGTTTTCCTCTTGAGTTAAGTTTTGAAAAGGGGAGACGTGCCGGCGGCAACGAGTGCTTTCTCGCCTGCTGGCCGGGGGCTCTGGTCTCCCGGTGCAGTGCCGACCCCGCGGGCTCGCGGCCGCCGCGGCGCTTCCACATGCCGCCCAAGTGGACGGGGAGCCCCTCGCCGGCCGGCCGGGCTCCTTTCCTGCGTCTGTCTGGGTGCGGGTCCCAGGGCTGCAGCCCCCGTCTGCACCTCGCACCTGCCTGCCCTGGGTGCCCGGGTGTTTCTGTCCCCGAGACCCGTGGGCCGTGGTTGGATGACGCCACTGAGGAGAAGTCCTCCCTGGGAGCTTCGCACAAGATCCAGTCATTTGCCCAGAAGTGTGCATTAAGGTGAAAATACTCCTGAAGGAGGTTTTGAGTTTGTCACGCTTTTTACGAAGGCGTTCTTCTGTAGCCCAGAAAACGTGCTGCTCTGTGGGTGGGAGACCCCCTCGGCTCTCCAAATACAGGTCGCAGCGACTTTGGAATCTTCCAGAAGCAACACGGAGAACAAAGTCCACTAACCCCAAATGACCTTAGGGTCACCGTTGACAAGCCGGAAGCCGCGGCTCAGGTTTCTGCAGTGACAGCGGCGTGGGGGGCGGCGACCAAGGCCCTAGAGCGAGCACCAGCCCCGCAGCAGAGCCCCAGCCCTGCGGACGGCGGCGGCCCCACCTCCCGGGCGTCCCTGTGAGGCTCTCGCGAGGTGAAGGTTCAGTCGAGGTCCCGGGACAGCACGGAACACCCGTGTGACTTTTGTAATGAGAACAGAAGTAGAGCCACCTACAGATGTAGTATGAGACGAGGTAGAATGCAAGCGTTAGGATCACTGTAATAGTATCACCGTGAATGCTACGAGTAGAAGAAAAGTTTCACATTGACCTCCTAAAATGCTGGGATCATTACCGTTCGGTAAAGCGGAGCAGGATCAAAGACTCAGAAAACCACCGGGAGCTACTGCGAGCCACGGTGACTTCAGTCAGCGCTCCCCCGTCCCGGCCTGCGGAGCCACGGCCTGGCGCTGCTCACAGCCACCGGGGGCGGGGGGGGGGCGCGTCCCCACGGGGCACCGGCTGGGCGAGCTGCTGCGCAGAGCGAGTCCTGCCCCTGCCACCCGCTCACAGCCCGTGTGTCAGCTCAGCAGGGGGGCTTGCCGCCCGGACCGCCGCAGAGCAGAGCCGGGGCCTCCCCTCCCCCTGCGGCTGCAGAGTCCTCTCTCCGCACGGGCAGTGCTGGGGGGGGACAGCAATGTTGGGGGGGGCGCTCCCGAAGGCCAGGGTCTGCTGCGGAGGATTCCCTGGGCTCACGCTGTCGGGGGGCTGCGGGGGGGTGGGAGCACCTGCGCTCGCCGCCCTCCCATCTGCGGGCAGCTCCGTCTGTCCGGAGCGCCCCGGACTGGACCCGCGAGCTCAGTCACGACCCACGGGGTCCCGTTCTTGGGGACTGAGCCGCTGCCCACGGAGACGTGTGGGCGCAGCCGCAGCATCGAGGAGGGGGCCCCCCTGCCCTTCGGGACAGTCCTGGGAACTGCGAGACGGTGAACAGGAGGGCGCTTCCCTGGTTGGTTTTCTGCTGGAATTGTCCGCGTGGCTTTACTTCTGGGACGTGGGTTTCTGTCCCTGTGTGACCTATGAAACGACAGCAACAAGGAAGGGCGAGGACGCTGGGGACAGGGGTCGGGAGGGAGAGGCAAGAGTTTCTCTGCTGGAACCCGACCAGTGCCCAGGGAGCCTTTCCTTCGCGTGGGTTTGGGGACGACGCGGACCCGGGGACGAGGCAGGCTGGGCCGCTTCTGGCCCGAGGGCTGGCAGTGAGCGACGGCGGGCTGCAGAGTTGGACGGTGCGGTAGCACACACCCCGGACTGCTGCGGTGCGACTCCAGCCAGGCGTGTGCCAGGCGTGTGCTGAAAACGGCCCGCCACTGGGGAGGGTTCGGGAAGGTGCCGGCGCACGTTCACAGGCTGGAACACGTGACGCCGATGAGTCTTGACCAGGAGGCTCCGCGACGCGTGTGGACGGTCCAGGGGGTAGAGCCACCCAACGGTCCGGAGAGAGAAGAGCGAGGCTGGGGACCCTCGAGGGGACGGCGGTCGAGGCGGCGGACAGACACGGAGTCGGTGGCACAGAATCGAGAGCCCGGAAAACTGCCACACCCACCGGCCGGGCCCTGACCCACGGGAACGGGCTCTGGGGAGAGTCTCAACCTGTCCGCAGTGTCCCCGCGACTGGCCGCCCCCGGCAGGAGCGGGCCCTCCCAGAAGCCCCCTCGAGGGGGGTCGCGGCCTGGACCTCCGGAAGAAGGCGCCCGCAGCCTTGGGTCAAACACACCTCTCGGACAGGGGCCGGAAGCACGAGATGTGAGAGAAAAAGGGACGAGTGAGACTTGGTCCTCGTGGAAGTCTTCTGTGAGTGACACTGTTAAGGAAGGGAAGAGACAGACCACAGGCGGGCAGGAAAGTATTTGCAAGTCGCACTTTCTGTTTTTAGATTTTATTTAGTTACTGTTACAGAGGGGAAGGGAGGGAGAGAGAGAGGGAGAGACACATCAGTGTGTGGTTGCCTCTCGCACGCCCCCCACTGGGGACCTGGCTCACAACCCAGGCCTGTGCCCTGACCGGGAATCAAACCTGCAACCCCTTGGTTCACAGGCCGGCCCTCAGTCCACTGAGACACACCAGCCAGGGCACAGGTCGTCCTTCTGACAGAGGACTTGACCCCGGAAGGTGTAAAGACCCCTCGAGACTCAGAGCAGTCCAGTGTTCTAAGTGGACGGAGACCTGGGTTCACCACACCAGGGAGGGCCGTGTGCAGGGGTGGAAGCTCGTGAGAAAACGCCCTGCGCCGCCTTCGCTGGGGAACCGACCGCCAAGACCTCGAGACGGACAGAAGTACGTCGCAAGGGACCGGCAGACGCTGAGAGCCCGGCACCACACGTGTGGGGGCGGGGGCCGGCGAGGCCCCTCGCTGCCAGCCGTGTCCCCTGAGGCAAAGCACGTGCCTGCTGCCAGCCCGGCACCCGCGAGGGAGGACGGTGTGTGTCCGGGCGGAGTCCCGGGCCCGGGTGTCTGTGGCGCCTTCGTCAGAATCGCCCGAACTGGGGCCACCCTGGCGTCCTTTGTCCAGTGACCCCCGAGGCTACACAGCCGGACAGTGACGCATGAGGAAGCAAACCGTCACCCAGCGGCACGGATGGCCCTGAGATGCGTTTTGCTGCGCAGAAGCAGCCGGACCCCAAACCGTGTGGGGCCCACTCAGGTGACCCCTGGGGCGGAGGAGGGCCCAGGGTCACCCATGTCTCGGGAGGAGGGGGACCGGCAGGCGTGGGGGAGGGAGCGGCCTGGTCTGGCCCTGTGGCAGGTGGGCGGGCGCAGGTCAGACCCACGGAGAGGAACCGCAGGTGGGTGGGATGCCGATGGGGACAGAGCGTCTCACCACGCTGGCCGGGTGGGCGGGGGCGGGGACAGCCAGCTGCAACCCGCAGTCGCTCTGGGCAAAGGCGTCTGGCTGTGTCCGCCGCCGGGACAACGGCAGGGAGGTCACCAGGAGCCCTGACGCACAGGAAACGTGCTCCAAACATGCGGGGCGCACGGAAGCCGCAGACAGCGAGATCAGATCCATGCCAGGCAGGACACAGGCAAGGGGAAGTCGGCGTGCACCCCGTGTGCCGGGAAGGGGCACGGGGAGCCACCCCAGGAGCTGTGAGGACCGCAGACAGCAGTGGGGCCGGAGGACGTCCCCCCTCTGGGACAGAAGGCTGCAGCCACAGCTCAGTGACGTCCCTGACCTCTCACACCCGGTGGCACCCACATCCTCTGAGCGGCCCCCGCGGCTCCCACCACCGTCCAGCTGCCATTCCCGGGGCTCCTCCTGCGCTCGGAGGCACGCCCCTCGCCGCCCCTCAGGCTCTGTGTTTCCCCAGCCTGGCTATTGCCTGCGGGAGCCTCAGTCCCAGACCCCGCTGCACCGGTTGGGGGGGGGGAGTGGCAGCTGGTGTCTGGGCGGCTTTCGGGGTCACCAGGCTGAGCCTCTGGGCCACCGGACACCCTGCGCTAACGGGCTCCCTCCCCGCATCCCCAGGGCAGATCCTTGTCCTTCAAGACCTTCCTCGTCTGGGTGGTGATCAGCATTTACCAAGGTAAGGGGGCGGGGCTCTGACTCCCGCCGGCCGCACTGCCCCACCTGCCATTGGACCCCACCTGGCAGGGCCGGCCTTTGACCCTGGAGACCCTGTTCCAGCCGCGGGCCTTCCAGCCTCCTCCCAGGGCGGCAGGGCTGGCACTTCGTGTAACCAATGAACACCACTTAAAAACTGGCCTGTTTCTGATTAAATGTTTAAAGTCCAGGGAGACTGTGATGGGCACGCACCACACGGTGCTTTCAGGGGCGGGCAGGCAGCAGGGCCGGCAGGGTCCGGGTCTGATGCCGGCTGTCACCGGTGCCCGGGCCGCACTCCCGACCAGCGAGGGGCGGCCCAGAGCGTTGAGGACCAGGCCGAGCCGACGGGCTGTGTTGAAACACGAAGTTGCTTACCCTCAGCAGGGTGGGGATGGCCCCTCCTGCAGGTGGGTCATTCACAACCCGTCATGAACGTCCATCAGGCAGTGGGCAGCACTGGGCGGGTGAGGCTCCCCGCCCCACCGTCCCCGGGTGCCATGGTGTCAGCAGCCTTTTCTCCCCGTCCCGCTGCCGCCTGTGGCAGCAGGGCCTCCGGCCCAGACCCCAGAGCGGTTCCCTGAGAAGGCCCCCCGCCCCCGCTGTGTTGCAGGCGGCATCCTCATGTACGGCGCCCTGGTGCTCTTCGAGTCGGAGTTCGTGCACGTCGTGGCCATCTCGTTCACGGCCCTGGTCCTCACCGAGCTGCTGATGGTGGCGCTGACCGTGCGCACGTGGCACTGGCTGATGGTGGTGGCCGAGCTGCTCAGCCTGGGCTGCTACGTGGCCTCACTCGCCTTCCTGAACGAGTATTTCGGTGAGTCGCCCTGGGGTGTTTCTGGACGGGTGTCTGTGAGAGATGTTCGAATGGTTCTTATTATTGCTTGTCCACACACTGTCCTAAGTCGCAGGTCACTGTAAAACACATACCGGCAAGCTTGAAACACACGGGCTTACTGGGGAAGGAGTCAGCTCCTCGTAATCGTTTTAAAGTTAAGGAATTCTCCACCTTGGCTTTTAGAGAGACATGGAGTGTGTCACAGGGCGGCCTCTGCTCCAGGCACCCGCGGCGGCGCCCATGGGCCCTGCACACCCAGGCACCAGCCAGCTGCAGCTGGGCCACCCGTGGTGCTGGACGAGAGTGGACATGATGCGGCCTTGAAGAGGGTTGGGCAGTGGCTGTCCGCACGCTCCTCCCGGCAGCCGCTCCCTCCCTGTCACCCTTGGGTGGCCTGGCAGGAATGACAGTCCGTCACAGGCCCCTGCCCTGGTCAAACCCGCCCCTCCCTCCTCCCCCCAGTCTCAGGGCTTTGGGGCCGGAGTGTGGGAGTGACCTCCCCGTCGCCCCCCGAGCTGATGCGTGTGGCCGCAGGACTGCGGGAAACTCTTCGGGGTCTTTAAATCGGGCCGAGGGAGGACATGGCATGTGACCGTGAGACGGGGGGTTGTCCCGGGGCCCCGGGCGGTGGGCGTGGGGACACCCGCGCAGCAGAACTCGGGCAGGGGCTGGTCGGGAGCAGCAGGCCACGCCCCTCCCGGTCCAAGATCGAGGGCCCCTCGGGCTGACGGCAGGTCAGCGACTACGGTGCAGGGACGCCTGGGGACCCCACGGGAGGCCAGTGACTTCCTGCGGAAACAGCAATGTCAAGGTCTCTGATTGCCAGAAGCTCCTGGGTCTGCCGCGGCCGCTGAGCCGACGCCAGTCCAAGGGCCCCGGGACCTCCGCTGCCCCCGGCCTCCTTGCTGAGCCAACGCCAGCCCTTCATGGGGGCTCACGTGACCCGTGCCCAGGGCCCGCGGTGAGCGCTGTGCCTGTGCTGTGGGGTGACCGGGGAGGCCTGTTCCTGGGCAGAGTTCTCCAGAGCAGAGACCCACAGGGCGTCCAAACGGAGTCAGGCCGGGGCCGGATCCCGCTGGTCCCCACCAGCTGCGGGGGTCGCCCAGCCACCGAGGAGATCTGTGCCCTGGGCGGACATGTGAGCCCGGAGGGAGCAAGCCCAGACGAGGGAAGGAGGCGAGGCCTGCGTCCACTCACCGCTCGCCGAGAGGAAGACACACCCGGAGCGCCCCCTGCAGGTGCACCGAGCCAGCGCGGGCACCGAGGTCTCAGGCGCCGCAGGGTGCAGGAGGAGGGCCCCTGGGAGGTGGCTGCCTCCACGTGCTCCAGGGGCGAACTCCGAGCCTGCCTCCTGCCCCACCCGCGCTCGGCCGCTCGACTGCGGTTCCTGCGGGCGCGAACACCGGGCACGGACGCCGCGTCTGGGCTGTCGTGGAACCGAGGAGGCGTGGACCTGGCTGACCCCAGCCACTGGGTAACGGGCCACGTCCTGTGGCCGCCGGGGGCCCAGGCCTATCCAACCCGGCTCCTCCGCTGTGACTGGACGGCGACCCCGTCCGCTCTGGCGGCGCCGTCACTGCCGACTCGTCGGTGTGCACGGGTGCGGGCCACTGGACAGACTCCTCCTGGGGCGTCGAGCTCGGCGGGTGCGCGCCTGCCCCCTGGGAGACCAAGTCCTCCTGCCGTCCCCGACGCAGGCCTGACAGCTGTTTCGGGGCCCCGCTGAAACGCTGCAGGAGCCGGTCACCGCGCTCCAGTCGTGCCCGGAAAGCTGGGCCTCCCCCACCCCTGAGCTCTGAGCCAGAGGCGCCGAGGCTGGGGCTGCAGATGTGGCTGCTTCCGGGGGCGTCTGCGACTCGCGAGCTGACACTGGCGCCCCTGGCAGCTCCCGGGCCCTGTCCTCAGCCGCCTGCGCGCCGTGGCTTCCGGGCGGGCCGGGCAGGGCATCTGGTAGAGCTTTCTTGGGGGAGAGGTTAGCGCTTCTGTCAGGAGGGCAGAGATGCAGGGTGGCGGCGGTTGAGATTCTTAGCTGGCGAGAACAACCTCCCTCTACCTGTTTCTCGCGGCCTCCCCCCGCCCCCTTGTGGGAAGGAGCTCCCCCCACCCCGTCAGGTTCTGCACCCCAGGTTGGGGGCATTCATGTGCAAGTCTGCTGCCTTTTCATGGTGGGGGCGTGGAGCCCCTGGGAAACAGGGCCAGGGCGTCCAAAGTGTGGTGAAGTGCAGGCCGTGCCCTGAGTCCTTGAGCCGGCACCCTGCACGCAGGCCGGCGTCTTCCCTGTGACTCCTCCGTGCCCCAGAGCCCTGCCCCCGCCCAGGACAGTGGTCCGAGGGGCCCCTGCCCCGGGAGAGGCCAGGGCATCGGACCCCCGGTTCTCCAGGTGCTGGGCCTCAGACGGCAGGTGCGAGGGCAGGTCCCCGCAGGGCTGCTGCGCCCCCAAGGCCAAGGGACGGGAAGGAGGGCCTGCGGTGGCCCAGCCTTGCGGCCACACCAGCTTCTCCCGAGGGCGTGTCACAGGCCCCGCTGTTCCCGTGGTCGCAGGACCCTTCCCGGGGGAGCTCGTCACCCCCGATGCACGGGAGGAGCCTGAGCTCCCCACGGGCCGCCCCCAGGGCCGGGCGATGCCTCCAGGGGGTGCCCAGGAGGTGGGCCCTGCCGCCTCCCTGCCTGCCCGCCTACCCGCTTCTCACACCCTCCTGTGTGTCTCCCCTGCAGACGTGGCCTTCATCACCACGGTGGCCTTCGTGTGGAAGGTGTCGGCCGTCACCGTGGTCAGCTGCCTCCCGCTCTACGTCCTCAAGTACTTGAAGCGCAAGCTCTCCCCGCCCAGCTACTCCAAGCTGACGTCCTAGCTCCGGCCCGGCGGCACCCTGGGTCCCCTGTGTGGGTCCCCCCGGAGGGACCGCCGTGCGGCGGCCCCTGGGACAGGAGGGCGAGCGCACGGAGCCCGAGGCGCGGACACCGCCACGGGCGCGCCCCCCGTGCAGGGCGGTGGCCCCGGTCCCTCCTCTATTTTCTGAGATTCCATTTTCACGTTGGACCAGCTCCCGTCTCTGTAAAGCACTCCCCTCGCCCTGGGTCCTGAGGTCGAACCCAGAGCTCGTCTGACGCTCTGCAGCTTCCCAGCACGCACGGGCCGCCTCCTCGGCGGCGGCGGCAACGTGGGAGGTCCTCCCGGCCCGGCCAATAAAGCCCAGGCTCTGAGGCGGCTGCCGTGTGTCCGGGGTCCGGGCGGGCGGGGCGGCCTCACGGCTCTGCGTCCCGCGGCAGCTGTGGCTGTGCAGGGGCGTCGCTGTGGGGGCCGGTGTCGAAGGTGCTGCCCTCCCCACACGAGTGACGCCACCTCACCGCAAAGCCACGCCCACACGTGGGTGCCGTGTCCTGTGAGCTCCCGGCTGCCCAGGTGGCAGACGCGCACGCCCGTGACCCTGTGCGGGGAGGCCTGTCCCCAGGCTGTCCTCCCGGCTCCGGGAGCCGGCCCCCGCTCTTGGTGACGGGCCCCGCGTTGTCGGGGGGCTGGGGTCCGTGCCCACTCCTGGGCCCCGCCCCCCACAGCCCACCCCGTGTTCCCGGGGTTCTCAGCTGGCCGGTCAGGCTTCCAGGCTCTCCCCCAGCGGGAGGCTGCAGGCCTCACACCCGGCCACTCGGGTCCATTTGAGCCCCTCCTGGTTTCACATCGCCCCCGGTCCCCGGGGAGGGGGTGGTGGCAGGGCTGGAGCTGGGGTGGGCGCTCCTGCTCTCGGCCACTGCCCAGGCTCCCGGCTGGGGTCTGAGCCCCGCCCCCGGTGCCCACCAGCCCGGACCCGGAGCCGTTCCCCACACTGCCCACATGGTGTCGCTGTGCGCCGGCCTCAGCCCCTGGGCTGCCTGCCGGCCGGAAGGTCCCCCAGGCCTGGGCTGCGGGGCCCGAGGGCTGTCCCTGCTCTGAGGGCTGGGGGCCTGGGCGGCTCCAGTCCAGCAGGACCTGGATCCTGTGTCTGCCCGTGGGGCGTGGGGCGGGCGTCTCAGGGGTGTGACCAGTCCCGTGCCCCCCGTCTGCTCTCGGCTCCGCTGGAGAAGGGGCCTGGGACGGTGCAGGGCGGGGGTCAGGCCGGGTAGCAGGAGCTGGGGTGCGGCAGGGCCGGGCGGAGAGTTTGTCGTCGGCCCTGCGGTGGGCTGGGGACCGGGGCTTCTCAGAGAGGAGGACCCCACGTGTGGGGGGCCGGAGGGCGTGAGTGGGGGGTGGGGGTGCCGGAGCACGTTCACCCAAGGTCGTGGGTGCCCCCTGTGACTGACAGGCCGGGGGCGGGGACGCAGCGGGGGAAGGGGTGTGGGAGGGGCAGCGCAGGGCAGGGTGGGCAGCGGCTGCGCCAGGGGGTTCTGTGTGGGCTGGCCCGTGACCTCCGGTGGGCTGAGGTCACTGGGTTCGCGGCAGCGGGCTGGGGAGTGACCGGGGGAGGGCAGGGGTGCAGGGGTGGGAGCCAGGGGGCCGGGAGGCGTTCAGAGGAAGGGACAGCCGAGCGAGCGTCCTGGGGCCTGCCCTCGGTGTCGGGGAAGGACTGGACGGCTGGGTGGACACACAGGGACAGGCAGACGGAGGGGGGGCCTGGCCTCGTCGTCTCGGTGGCGGTCACAGGACACGTCAGAGAAAACGCGTGAGGGGCAGTGAGGACAGGTGAGAAGGGACGGGGAACACCTGGGCGCCACCGGCCGTAACTGCAGAGGACGCCAGCAGGTGGCGCTGGAGGCCAAGCAATAGCCCGCCGACTGCCTGGGCTCCAGGCTGGTTCCCGGCCCAGGGGTGCTGACCCTGTGGAAACCACCACCAACTAGCCCCCAACCCCGTGACCGCACTGGGAGCAAGGGGGGCTCAGGGTCCCAGGTCCCCCTGGGAGAAACCCCCACAGGTGCTGCTGCCTCCCAAGTGCCTCCCGCCCGCAGGCCCACCCTGCTCCGGGAGGGACTCGTGACCGGTGGCTGTCTCCAGGCGCCACCCACCCCAAGGCTCCAGGTGGGCGTGGCCCTGGGGGGCCCCCTGGCACGGCCCAGGGCAGCCGGTGATCGCTGGGTACCGTGGTGGTGTTTGTCGCTTCCTGTCAGTCCGGGCCTTCCCCTTCTTCCCGCCTGAGGGCACAGGCACGTCACCAGCCCGGCACCGGTGCGTCCACTTCAGGGCTGCGGGGCGCCCGGGTCCAGGGGGCGTCCCCGAGGCCACACTGCCCTGGGGAACCCCGCCCAGGGACGGGCTCCGGGGAAGGTCGGGACCCCAGGCGTCAGCGTGCGTCAGCGTGAGCCGGGGCTCTGAGGCCCTTCCCGCGCGGCACTGTCTGCACACAGGCCGGCCGGTCGCAGCGTCCACCCTGGGCTCTCAGCGCCGGGTCCACGTGGTCAGAGTCCTTCTGTACCGAGTCCCTCTGGGCCCGTGGCTCCTGGAGAGAAGGGTTCTGACTTGGCCGACAGGGGAGCCCACAGGAGCCCCGTCTCGAGATCAGCCCTGGGGCCCCAGACCAGAGCTGAGAGGTGGCTGGCTGTCAGGCCCATGCCCAGAACTTACCCTCTCGACCCCCGCCCCCACGCAGTGCCACTGTGGGCGGGGACTCAGCCTCTCTCCCCGAGGGCCTGGGGAGGCTCCTGGTCCAGGCCAGGAGGGTCCTTGGCACCAGCCACCAGCACCAAGGGAGCAGCCAGCCTGCAGCCCACGGGCCCCCCAGACAGGCCCGCACGCCCGAGGCAGCCTGCCACCATCGGGGCCACCGGGGGGGCTCGTGCTCACCGATCGGCCAGCTTCACCTGGTCTCGGCGCCCGCCCTGCGCTCTCATTTGGGTTTCTCTGGTTCTCCCATGGCCCCCCTGGCGGTGCCTGGGGACGGCTGAGGCTCCCGAAGCAGACTGGTGGCAGCTGTGTCTGTGCTGCCTCTGGATGAGCTCTGTGCACGCGCGTGGGCGCCCCCACCTCGTGGCAAATGGCAGCCAGACGAGAGGAGGTGGGCTGAGGGAGCCCCCTCTGTCGGCCTGGTGAGGATCTGTGCAGACACCCAGTCTCAGGGTCAAAGTGCAAGCGGGGCAGACCGGACAGGCCCAGAGCGTCCGGTGTGTGTCCGTGCGTGTAGGAGCCGGAGAGCACGGAGTCGGGGCTGGAGGGATGCAGCTGCATGTGCCCCGGGGCGCGGGGCCCGACAGCCGTGTGTCGTGGAGCCCGGGCACAGGAGGGGCCGCAGGGCGGACACGGACATGGACACGGTGTTGGGGGGACGAGAGGCCTTTCGGGGCCAGTGAGTCGCCCAGGGTGGCCACACTCGGAACCCTGCCCCAGAAGCCACCCTGCTCCCCGGCCCACTCCCGGACGCCCCTCTGCAGCACACCCATCCCGGCCCAGGGCCCCTGTGGTGTGCCGGGGCCCAGCTCAGTTTGGGGGGATGAAGGGTTCGGTGGCGACCGGTGTGGCTGTGCCCTAGGCCACCGAGCTGTGCCCCCAACAGCGGCAAAAATGGTGGGTTTTGTTACGTGTGTTTTACCAGCTGTTAGACATGACCCCGAGGGTTGCGGCTGTCTGAGAAGCCGAGAGCCAGGTGGGGGGGCCGGTGCCCACCAGCGTCCACCTCCCAGCGCGCGGCCACCCACCCACCACCCGCGGCACCTGGGGCTGGTCTGTCGGGCTCGCGGCAGCCCATGCCCACTGGACTGGGGGGGTGGGGGAACGGCACCGTGGTCGCTGAGGGCTCCCGATCGTTTACGCTTTGGCGACGCGCCACCCCTCTCCTCCGAGGAGAAAAAAGGCTTCGGTGGCTCGTAAACGGTGGCCGTCTGCCGGACATCAAACATGCTGACCCCGCCTCCCGATGACTGCCTGGAATGAATCAGAAGCACATGCTCCAGATTCCCCTTGAAACTCACTCGGGTTTCAGGCGAGTGGAAAAAGTGCCTGCAGAGCCGGTCTAGTGCTCAGCGCCTTATTAAACCAAACACGCTTTGAAACAGGTTGGGGGCCGCGGGGCCCAGGCCCGGGCCACCCCATCCGTCCCTGGCTGGAGCCTCCCGAAAACCGCGTCCCCGGCACAGACGCAAGTCGCTCAGGTGGGAAAGGACCACAGGGAGTGCAGACTCCCTGTCTGAGGCCGGGCAGAGCCGAACTTACTGTTACTGCGCAAAAAGGAAACGTGGTTAATTCACAGGTGCAAGCCCCAAATCTTACCAGAAACAAAGTAACATTTCCTGGGGGGTGTAGGAAGTCGATCCCGAGCCTCCTCCCTGCCCCTTGCCCTGGACTTCAAGACCCCCACCTCCTGCAAGCATGGGCCGGAGGAGGTGCCTGCCCAGGCCTCAGACCGACCAGGAAGGGTCAGCAGTGCCCAGGCCTCTGGGGCTTGGCACAGGCGACGCGTCTCCAGGCCCGTGCGGCAGCAGCCGGGGTGGGGACAGACCGGCGACACCGCTCAGCCTCCCTGTGCCCCTAGGCGAGCCAAGGGAGAGTGAGGAGCCCAGCTGGGCCCAGGGACACGGCCGCGGGGCCGTGGGAGGCAGCTCCCACATTTCCTTCTTCCTCCCTCCCGACAGCGTCATGTGCATCTCATGCCCCTCCACAGCCGGTCCCTCCCCTCCGCACAGAGCAGGGAAGGACCCTCCGGCCAGGTCTCCGCACTCTGGCTCTCGTGCGAGCTGGGATTCCCGCCGCTGTGGCAGAATCCCACCTCCAACCCTGCCAGGCAAACCAGGGAAGCTGTCTCCTCGGCAGGTGGGGGTCCTCGGGTCCCCCAAGATTCGGAGGCTCAAACGGCACAGGACCGGCCTCTGGACTTGCTCTTCTGCACGCGGGCCCTTCCCCCTGTGGAGGAGACCGTCTCCGCCCAGCAGCAGCAGGCCCGCACCCCTGCGGAGAGTGGGGGTGGCCCCGTGAACACCCCCTCCCGGAGCAGGGGCCCCTGGACCAAGGCAGTGGGACGGATTGCAGTGTCCAGCAAGAGTGGCCGGGAGTGGGCCCCGGACGTGGGCCTGGAAGCGAGTGCCCGCCCGACGCGGAGGTGCCCCGGGCAGGCTGGGACGGCGCATCCTCGGGAGGCAGAGCCCGGCCCCCCCTGGGCCACGGGCGCCCCCAGGACGGGGGCGGGAGGTGTGACGTGGAGTCCTAGCAGGAAGTCAGGCCACATGGCACTGGTGGCCGGTTCCCTGGGGCCCCCACAGCAGAGGGCCGCAAAGCGGGGGGCTCGGAGCAACAGAAATAGACACTCTCGCGG